CAGCATTTCAAACGCGCCTGGGCCCATGTTGGAAACAGGTCCAACAAAGAGCCTGGACCTTAAAAAGGCAACGAGTGGCTGTGTCCGCATCCTTGGCACAACGCTGGTCAACAAAACGGGCCCTCGTTTCAGGGCCAAAAACAACCACGGGCGAGTCGGGCATCTTCCAAGAAGCTGGCAGCTCTTAACAGCAACGGATGACGGCTGAGTGCGGCGCTGGTTGCTGAAGGACATGCCTCAGCCAAGCTTGCGACAGCTTTCCCAGCAGATGCTTTCATAGGCGTCCTTGCATCTTGTACTGTCTCTCAGCTTGCAATGTCTCTTACATCATACGTGCCATCAAGGTCAATTTCCTTAGAAGTCGTCAGGGTGGCAGCGGCAGCGGTGGCAGAGGTGGGCAGAGTTGGTGGCTTATGCGGGGTGTATCTGACGTCAGCCCAAATCTTTGTTGCCTGAGGCGGCCGCATGCCGCAACCAACGCCTAAGCTGAGTGCAATGCAGTCTACAATCCTAGCACGGGCTTCCTCCCGATGAGTGTTGGTTGACCTCTTCCTTGCTTGACCACCACCGTCTCCGGCTCAAATGGCAAACTATGCTCAACAAGCATGACATTATTCTGCACCAGCTCACTCAATTCCAAGCTCGCTGGCTGAGTTGAGCGGCGCGCTCAAACAAAGACTTCAACGTGGTTTCAAGATGAAAAGCAGGCAGCGCTCAAAGAATGGCCGCTCGCACCGAACAAATCAGCGTGTGCGGCATAGAATCATAGAACAAGACGCCCATCGCACCGCGTTGAGTCGCCTATTGGGTCGTTTCGCCTTTCCGCTTGGCGCACTGTGCTGTTTTCACGGCTGGGCCCCGCGCTAGGCCACCCAAGAGCCTGCAGGCAGCTTGGAAGCAAACCGACTATCAGAGATCGATGGACATGTGAGTTCATCGCCAATTTGAGTTCAAGCTGGTCTTCAAACACTGCCATACAGGTCGCCCTGAGAATGTTGCCCCCTGCCCGGAGTCCAAGATATTCCAAGAAAGGGCATCCGAAGGCTGAAACGCAATGGATCAATTCAGTATGCTCTCCAGGAAACCGCTTCTGCTTCGGCATGACCCCCGGCAATCCAATCCCCCTATATTCTTAAATCCATCCACCCGCCCTTATTGATATTTGTTTGCTTCAGGCCATGAGGCCCCCCCCTTCTACTTTCAATTGACCAAATTCTCAACAAATACTGTACTTCTGGACAGCCCTTGTTAGGGGGGTACTTTCGGCACTTTCCTTCTTGCAAATGAAAACTTAAACTCAACCTCTATATAAATTATAACAACATATAATTTTACCTTGTACGTGGCTTGAACAACTTCCAATTCATTCGGATTACGATTTTGACGGTTTTTGTGCCTGGCAAAGGGAGCACCCCTTGTGAAACAGGACCGTAGTTGACACCCCTAGAACCCAGTAAGAACCTGCCGAAAAGGGGGGAGGAAGGGAGAGTAGGGGAGTGGGCCAAGCAACATGTGGATGCGTCGCAATTTGGATTGTATGTCCTCCTGGGCAGCGGCAAGACTTCCATGTCAAAGCAACGAACATCCATCTGTGTTGCCCACCTCCTGGGCATGTCGAGCTTTGCTCCTCCGCAGCAAAATGGCCCACAGTTACAAACGTGGTTTTGAGCGCAACAAATGATCCAAAGCTCAGGCTGCTGTTTGTGGCGGTGGCCGCGTGATTCAAATCCTTGAGGTGGCTTTCTGCACAAAAACCGAAATGCAAATACATCTTAATACAGAACAGCGGTGAATAGCTTCATCCAAAGCAGCCGACATGTCGCCAACTCCCAATTCACAGCAGATTGGACACGCCACCATTCCTCAAAGTAGATCTCATCCGGTTCCGTGCGAGCTTTTATTTCGATCGTTTTCCATTCAGCACCCCAAAATTGGTGGCTTTCCTTAGCTCACTTGCCCAAGGGACCCAGAAATAGAAGGTTAACCTTTTGGCACCTTTGCTAAACATGGACCAACATGGGAAAATCAAAAGGTCAAAAGGCCGCTTTGGCAACTGAGTTAAGCCAAGGAAAGCCAAAGGCCTGACCCCTCCATTAGACACCCCGGAGGTTGGGGGGTCTCAAAACCAGGTTGTTTGAAGACCCTAAATCAATCAGGAGCGGAAAAGGGTACCTGCACGAAACCACACGCGCAGCTCGCAGAAACCCGTCCTAGGGCCATGGCTTCAGCTCAGCCGCAGAGTTCGTACCGCTCTGAGCCCAAAGGTGCGGCCCGGTCCCCCCCCATTGGCTGGGGAACACATCGCCAGCTTTCCCAACAACAAGCAGCAAAGCTGGTATGGGGTCCATTTAGGCGGGATGTGGGCAGAACATCCCCAAACAAAAACATTGGGTTCGATCTGTGCTTGCAGGCTGCGAACTGGATTTCCATACAAAAGGCGAGCCCGAGCAAATGGTGCTGGGACGCGCTTCACATCAAGCGCGAAAGAGCGCGGCACCAAAGCAAACAAATACAGAATCGAGGTCCGCTATCTGGCCACTCTCTATGAAAGACAGAAGGCTATCTACACCCAAACTGTGTGGCCCAAGTATTTTGCTAGCTCCTTTCCTGGCTTTCCTGCTGCCACAATCAAACCAATAAATTTGTGGCAGCAGGAAAGGAGCTCACAACTTGCGTGCCACCAGGCTCAATTCGCTCCCCCGACCAAACCATATCAGAACACATACGGGCACTGCCAAACTCAACGTCACCCGTCGGAGCCAAGCTGCCTCCCAGACTGACTCAGTTCTGACAAATGGCTTTCTCTTGCTTCTTCTATTATATTCGGACGTGACAACCCTTGGGTGGCCGCTCGATTTCTGCTGGGGCGGCGGCCTCGTGACACTTTGTGCCAGGTACCAGCTAATCCCCGATGCGACACTGCCTTGGGCGAGCCTGGCGGCTTGCCCCAAATAGGCCAGCCTTCAAAACTTGAGAGGTCCATACAGGCCGAATCTAGGGCCCCTTTCAGGGAGAAAATCTGCCAGAACAGCTGCCGTGCTTGTGGGGCGCGGTGTGTTCAAGTCACACGCAACCCTCTGGTTGAAGGATTGCGCGCACCCGCAAACGAATGTTTCACCATGCGCCATGGCCTTGCCCAATACCGGATCCAACCTGCTGAATTTCAATAGCTCATGCATGGAGCATGCGGAAATTCGCTAAAATGTCTCACAAACACAAGTGGTCTCATTTCATAATATGGCGACATGGTTTCAACAAAGCAAAGCCTCCACCGCGAGACATCGCCATGGCCACAATGGCTCTGTGGCGCCAAATAAGGAGTTTCAGTCCATTGCTCAGCCATGACTGGCTTTGCCGAGTCTGTCCACAGCCTGCCATCCTACAGCTCCTCACATTCTACATCATAATGCCCAGAGGGCACATCAGGCAAACTGCCAAGGGCCAAGAAGCGATTTGACTGTACCCATTGCATTTCGAGGGCGGGGGACCTTTCAATATGGCGCCTGAGCTCGGCATTCACAGTGTCTGTCCCACCGATCCTGGAGCGCTCCTAAGTTGGCCAAACCGTGGGGCAAAGGTACAGTGTCAAATAAAATAAGTTTTAAGCCAACGACTTGTCTATGTGAGCAAAACTGGTAGGCCAAGTTGTGGCATTGATCCAAGTTTTTGTGTGAAAGGGAAATGCCAACAAGCTGTTCCAAATCACTTGCAGCAAATGAACACACTGTGCCGAGCCTGCTTGAGCAACCAACACCTGCTGTTAGCTGAGTCTGCCAGCATGTCTTTTCCATCAGTTGCTTTGGTCACGGCCCAAGGCATCACTAATAAAGAAAACAACAATTATGAATTCAGTTTCTTACGCGTAGGTTCAAAAACAGGGTTGCTAGCTGGGTTCCTTGAACACATGCTGCATGGAAAATCTCTAAAACGCCCACCCATTAGTGAATCCGCACAGCAAGGCCAATTCTGCAACTATGCTGCAAGACATTCAGCCACCGGTAAGAGAGAAATGTGCTGTGCCTCGGGCCTTTCTCCTTGAGTGGGTGCGTTTTCTTGGACGCTGGGTAGTCAATCCATCCATCGCCAGGGACCTTCGTGCCAAGGCGCCAAAGACGATCCTCGAGGAACCAGCCCTTGCTCTCTTGCAACACTTTAAACCTCAGCTCCGCACTCCGCACTACCCCCGCCCCCTCCGGTCGTGGGGGTGGAACTTCCCATGTGCTAGGTCTTCAAGGGGTTGGGAGGTCTGGCCCTGTGGCGAGACTCCAATGGCTGTATCCCAGGCGCGATCCATGCATCGGCTCCAAATTTCCAAAATCAGCTTTTCAGTCCAGTACATGCAGCCATTTCAGGGAGACTCCTTGGCTGGTGGCTCAAGCCTTTGGTGGTCCTAGCCTGCATAAATTGTCCTAGGGCTGCTTCGGTATTCAATCCGCTTAGTCAGAAAGTTCTGATCATGGTTGTGAGTCTGCCAACCCTGTTATCCGGCGAAAACAAGGACGACTCCATCAAACACCAATTGCTAGCTTACCTCTTGAACCAAGGGTGCACTTGCCAGGTTGCAAGAAATGGCTGGGAGCTCAATTGGCAGAGGCAAACAAGAGCGTAGCAGGCACGGATCTTCACGCCGGATCGGTTGCAACACCCGGCTGGCAGCTCAACATCCCGGAGACCCCACACATCTCCAAGCCGCCGCAACTCCAACAATTTTCTTCGCCTGCAAGCGGCCATGGCTGCCAAGGCCCAGCGAATTCACTGAAGCAATCTACGACTGACTCCAGATGTGCCGCATCTCGGCGTAGGTTAATTCGCGCCATCTGCGCCAGCGGAGCTGTGTTCAAACCTCTCGGATTCCAACCAACGCAGCTAGAGTCAGAAAATTGCAAACCATGCATTGCAATTCTGAGCTTGATGGCTTAAACCACTGGTGCTCTGCCTGGCCCATTTTCTGTGCCAGCACTCATCCGATGGACAGCTATGAAGTCATTCGTAGTGCTGCTTGGAGTGTCCACCAGGTGCATGAGTGAATACCTAGTCCTAATCAGCCTGCAACCACGTGCAGGTTGCGGGATCCTGGACTTTGCCAGTCCCACTTGCTCATTGAAAACGACTCCCTGACCAATTTGTCCTGTCAGGCTTGTGCCTGCCCTGTTGGCTTCAGGGTGAGATGGCACCTTGGAAGGGAAAGCACCTCTGACGCATCTTGCCAGCCTCTGCCCGTCAGACCCCCCCACTTTCGTACCGTCGCGTCACGCTTCAGCGGGGAAAATGGAGCCAGCCTCAGATGCGCTCTCTGTGGCAGATGTGATGGGCGAACATAGTTTAAAGCGTTCATGTCCAAAATCAATACATGCATATGTTGAAACGTTCCGAAAGTGTGTCTGGCAAGCCTTTGAAGCTATGGTCGACGGTCCCCGGATGCTGGCCGAGAGGTCGCCAACAGCAAGCTTAACTGAAGATTTCTGCGTCCAGCTAAATGCTGGCCTCAGGCTGGAACATCGAGGTTTCGGGGAAGCATGGCTCCAATTACCTAAAAAAGCATACACAACAACCCAACAACCCAACAACTCAACAACCCAACAACCCAACAATCCAACGGCCCAACAGCCCAACGGCCCAATTTCAGCTTGAGATGTTGCTTGCATTCGGGCGGTTGAAAGTCCGAAGCCAAGCGGCGCGGCCAAAGACGCCGGTCGCCTTCTCTGCCTCCCAAGAAATGGCATGGGCAGTCAGTACCAGCGGCCTCCTGATACTGCCATCCAAAGCCCAGTAGAAAAGCTGAACACTCCATCTGGTCGTTCAAGTTGTGCCCGTCACATGCAAACCAATGCAAAAACGGCTGACTTGCTAACAACACCCTCACCCCCATGAGGAATCCGCATTCTCTTAAACAAGCAAAATGGACAATTAGATTGAATGCATGCCTCTCGTGGATGCACTTGGTCATGCAGGCCACATCGTCGGTCAAGCAGTCGGCACCTGCCTTTGCCCCGGCCAGCAAATAGGATCTAAGCTGACCCAGTCGCAGCCGGAAGGTCGGAAAGAAGCCTCGGATCTTTGCGCGGTGAACTTGGAGCTGGAATTTATGAAGCCAATTGAACCCCTGGTGTGAATAGATTCTGGGTTCATGAACTCGGTCGCTTTGGCTTCATCTGGAAAGGCCTGCCAGAACTGGGGCCTAAAAAGGCCTTTCAGTCGGAATGTTGGAAACATGCTAACTGAGGTGAGCTCTCAACACGCTACCCCAGAGTTCGTCAAGCCTGCTCAAACAAGACCGACGCAATTCTCATGTATTTTTGGAAGCGTGCAGGTCACAACAGCATTTGGATAATTACAATGCCTAAAGAAAGAATTATGCCTCCAAGCCCCAGTCAGATTGAATTAGGGGAATCACCCCATTCCTTCCTTGCCAGCCCGCGAAACCTGTTGTTTCCACGCACGATGAGAACCGCTGTGTACTACATATTAACCACTCAGCCTTGACACAGGACGTCACAGGACCCCTAATCAAAGCAAACAGGGATCACTTTCAGTTTAGCTTATCATTGGGAGAATGCAATCCAACCCATCTTAAGTACTGATCAACTCGAGTGGCTGACAAAGTCGCATGTACCTAAAAACCCAGTCCAGACCTTCAGTGGCTGCCCTTGGTTCGGAAGAACCCCCCCCAAAACAAAGGGACGAAAGAAAATGCACCAGTGGAGGTCTGCGCGGGTGACCCTCTTTGCCCAAGCTGCGCTCCGCATTCTTCTGGACCTGGCCAAAGGTGGAGAAGACCTGACAGGAGACCGCGCTGGCTTGACTCCAAGGGCCCCGACTCACCCCTTCCTTCGCGCAAGGTCCCTTTGACTTCAGAGGGCATTCGCGCTAGGGGCAGGAGCTAAATGTCAAAGAGTTGATATCAACAACAAGTTACTTGCACTCAGCCGCCTACTGGAAGTCAGCTTAAAGACATGCTTGTTATTCTAAGTGTTGACTCCTCTAGAAAGTTGGCTGGAAAGCGATGGGAGGCCTCCGCAGCCATCCCGCGGCTCTGTTTCTCCAGCCAGAGGTTGCAGGTCTTGTCCTCGACACGGCGAAATTTCCGCCCTTTGGCAAATGACCCCCAAAGATTGGTCAATGAACCTCACCAAATCCAGCGGTGCTGCAGCAAAAATGACCACACAACGAAACAACGCACACCTAGCCTCCTCAGAAAGCAGCTTGACAGGCTGCGCATGCAGCCAATACCAAGCCCATACTTCCCCAAACAACACCTGAGGCTACGCTACATGCAGCTCTTTGTGGAGGAGGATGCTCCAGACTCGGCATTGACCAAACCCCAGAGCTGAGCCAATCCATTGTATCACGCTTAAACATGTTTCAACCAGCATTCCCCTGTCAAACGGCCAGGGGTTGGTCGTAACAATGCCCTCCCGCCCAGCGCTTCTGGCGCTTGTGGCACGGCGCCAGGTCTGCGGTGACGCCGCTAACGGCTGCCAGCAAACGCGAGGCACGGGAGAGGTAGAGGCCTCAAAGAGGCGAGGGCGGCTTGGAATTGCCTATGGTTTCAGCCATGCGCTCTATGGTTGCCTGTGGGTCAGGATCTGAAATGAGATCCTGTTCCACGCTCACAGCAGGCTGCCCGACCATTTCGCCTAAAACATCACCCCTGCCGCAGGAAACTCGCCTTGGGGTTGAAAGCACCGAGGAGGACACCTAGCGACCCATGCGACCCATGCGACCGGCGAAGTGCGGCCCGGCCTGCCATGAGCTGCAGCGCCGTGGCCATGGCCTGCGCCAGGGCCGGCATCCACATCAGCGCCGCCCGCGGGAGCCAGGGCTCCTCGGTCGAATCTCGCCTTTGCTTTGCGTCTGATCCAGGCCCTTGCATCGGTGGCTTGGGAGTTGAACCCCAGCTCCTTTTGAGCCTTAATGGGGAAGGTAGCCCCCAACGTCCACATCAATTAGTAGGGGGAAGCTTATGTTTAAGGGAGGCCCCCGGAAAAAAAATAATATTATATATATATATACATTTTTTTGGGGGGCGATAAGACAAACCTAAATGGTTTCGGGAAGCCCTGACGACCTGGTGGGACCTGCGTCAAACGGCTACCTGGTCGTTGTGAGGCCCGTGGTGGCCCTCTGCCTCTGAGCCCTCGGTGGGACCGTACGCCAGTTCACGGCCAAAGCAGGACTTCGACAAAGGGGCTGAATTGCCACATGAGAAGGCGACAACCTGCAATGTGGCCTAGGTTAAAGTCCGGCCACTTGGACGCAATGTAGCATCCCGAGCAGCTTACCTATTGGGATGCTACATTGCTTCAATGTAAGCGGGCCTGCAGATTGGCAATGTCACAGTACTGTGATTGCCGAACATTGTTGACGCTTTCGACTCTGAAGTGATCACATCCCCAGGCAGCTGCCACCCCTGCCCGCCTGCGGTGGTGCCGGGGCCTGAGCCTGCAGAGCTGTCCAACCGAAACTGCCCCTCTTTGCTTAGATGACCTGCGTAATCAAAAACTAAATGCCTTCTTCCTGAAATGGGCCAACAAAAAACTGAATGAGTGATGTTGCCGTAGCCATGTCGCGCAAAGTCCCTGAACATTCCCGCAATCTGTTGAAGGTGATTCCTGGTAGTGTGTGCATCCATGATATCTCATCATTAGTTATGTGCAATTATTTGTACCTGTCGGTACCTGATTTGACTCCATCAGGACCAAAGCGCCATCTCGAGCCCGATAAACGAAAGACTGCAGCCTCGCCCAAGCCGGAACCCCTTCAACAACACAATATGGGTAGCAATGTGAGGACTGACCTCTTCAAACGGGGCCCTTTTGGATGTCTACTTGCATGGTCACATATCCAGCCCTCAAGAACGGCCCCTGCAAGCTTCCACAACGTAAACCACCACGGGTGATATCCCCCGAGAGCGCCTCATCTGAAATGGAGAAGCTCATGGTTGGAAAGCGCGCCTGGCACATCAGGGTGACGCTGGTGCATGCGCAGCTTCAGGTTTACAAGCAAGGGAACTACTCTCAGTCCAAACATGGTCGGAAGCATTGCAAAGGACAGCAGGCACACGATGCCACGCTTGTTACTCAAGCCGAGCCTACAATCTGAACCCCTCAACTTGGTGTTCCGTGGCCAAACCCACAAGTGACTGGCCGCATGACCACAAGGGCGTATCTCATTGGAAATCGTTAGCTTCCTTTAGGCTGCCCTTGACCAACCACCAAAACGACTCCAGCGATGCCTTGAAGTCCTTCACCAGGTCGTCCTCGTTGCGCCAATCCTGGGTGCAAAGGACTGCCACAGGTTCCCATTTTGTTGAAACCAGTGACACAGAAGGTGCAAAACGGGGCCAACGCTTTTTGGGTCCCACTGCGTCCCACCAGTTGGAAGATGTTGCGTAGTATGCCTGGTTTAGAAAGCATGTGTTGTGCTTCCCCGCTGCGGCTATCTGACTTTCGGCTAACACGAATGGAAGAAAACAGGGGCAAGGACGTTCCTCTATTTATCGCTTCTGTGACTCGGGCTTACAGCTCCTAATGCCAAATCTTGGAAAATCTGTGCTCGGTGCCCTCTGAAGAAACCATTTGGTATGCCTAAAGAGCTGATGCTTCATTCTTCGAACTCATGGCCCATTCGCCGAAGCGTGGCCTGCCACCCCCGCCCCCCCTGCGATTCGCTCGAAGAATCCACATCGTCCATCTCCCGTTGTTGCAGCGAAGAGTGCACCAACGCCTGGAGGGCCAAACAAAACATTCATCCCTCCTGCAGCCCCGGTGGCCAGGACACTCTGAAGAGAGAGTTGACTTCATTGGTTCATCATGAGTTCTGGTCAGAGCTAGAAAGCGGTTCCTTTGGATCCAATTTAGATGTCCCTTCCAATGGACATTCAATGGCTAGCCCCAAAGAGAGCCAGCTTACGCATTAAACATATTCGTAGCCTCTACTGGACGAACAGCTTGAAAGTAGACTAATACTGACAAACCATAAATATCGCGTGCCAAAAACATCCTGGGTGGAGCCGAATTATGACGCTTCACCAGGAGACTGGGATTGGCCAGGTCCGGGCCATTTCAAACCATGCTGCGAGCCCCGTTCTCCACAGGTCTGACAAATGGCTTAGCATATCCAATGTCTGGTGCTCACGGCCTCACAGGGGGGCTTCTATGTGAGGCGCGGGCAAATCTGCTTGCTCCCTCTGGAGGACACGGGAAGATAAGTTGCGTCTTGCTTGCGCTCTCTCCAGCCTTGCAGCGGGTTAGTCCAGCGTGGACAGGGCATGATCAGCTTCCCAACCACATTGGCCCTGTGGCCAATTCACACAGGGGAGGCACAAATAAAACAACAACAACTAGATTCTACAATCACGCCTCGCTCCCAAAATCGCTGGGGAAGATTAGTGAGTCAGCTTGTTGTTGTGGGAAACTTAGTGAGCTCCACCCCATGCTTCATGTTCTGATAGGAACGTGCGAGATCGCCTGCCTGGGACATAGCTAGCAGCCCCAGGTTCATCAAAAGGACGAACAGCAGCGGCAAGTGAACCTCAGCGCAGGCCGGCCGCCCTGAGCCGGCTCGACATGGTGGCTGCTCCTCTGGAAAGGTCGGGCACTTCTTGCCAGTTCCCTGGTTGAGAAAGTGTGTGCCGCCTTCAGTCTAATGAACTCAAGACACGCAACACTGGGCAATTGAAGATTCCCGGGCGCAAAGCTACTTCAATCGTGTGGCTAGGCATCTTGTTTGCCTTGCTGCGTGTTTCTATCGTAAGGATACTGCCCATGCATATATTTGTTGTTCATCAGTGAGATCCCGAAAGCTCCGACGAGTTCGGCCTCACCAGGCTGGTGTCGGCTGTGGGACCTCAGGCCCATGAGATCCATGCGGACAAGTCACCAGCCACCAGTCGAAGCTGGAACGTTGAACCACCAAACGTCCCGTCGGATGCCTGAAGTCAGGAAGAGGTTGGAAATACAAATCACCACCTCCTAGGCCCACTGTTTTAGGGTTGGCAAAAAAATGCATAAGGGGGGTGAAGCCTTTCCGCCACACAATTGATGCTCATCTTCAACATGGCCCATATCGGCAACAAGAAAGGCAAGCTATGCAAGTGGGCTCAAGCCAAGCCCCCTTGCAGTTCCCAAAAGGTCTATCTGGCTTGATCTGCTGGTTGCACAGTTGGGAAACTCCACTTGCTTCAATTCGGATTCGGGTTCGGCTCGGCTGCTTAGTGGAGACCGTCTTTCAAAGAGTCACTCTGCTTGTAGTGGGATGCCACTGCAAATTGAAGATCTTGCGGATTGATTGAACCAACTCGAAGGGGATAAACAACGGACCAATCAGATCAACAAAATACCCAGCGGACATAATTCCTCTTCGGACAGACTTACCAGCGACTTGCGAGTTCTTCACCTTTGAGTCAAAAATATTTCACCTCGCCAGAAGCTTCCGGAACTCCGTTGGATTGGTTCCATGTAAAGGGGCCAAGTGGGGGAGCTTCCGGCTAGGCCTGCGGAGCTGTTCCTCGAGCTGCTCCGGGAGCACCGCCTGGCCAGATCGTCTCTCACGGGTGTTTTCGTGGGGACATGGGATCACACTTTATTTCGCTGTTGAATTGACATAAATTGAAATAAATTGAAATATGACCCCCTCCCAAGAGAAAAGAAAAACACAAATGAAACTCCCCCCCCCCCCCCCATGGCACATGGAAGACTGGCAAGACTTTCCTTTGGGAAACAGGGGGGGGGGTTGGACCTCAGGTTCTTGATGTGAAACCTGTGGTTAGTAGTGCTCAAAGTACGTCTTCCCAAGAGAAGGCGATGCTCATTTACTCTACTGCTGAGTTCAGTCTACCATGAGGAACATCCCGTTTTGATATCAACGGTTCGGGAGCTTGCGACCTCTGGGTCAAGGCAAATTGCTGTTGTCTGCCCACCTTGCTCTCTTCCACGAAGCCGCTAATCCTCGTCTGGCCTCGGTGGGAACAGGAGATTCCGGGCACTACTTTTTTTAAAGCTGAGCCAAAGTCAGAACCAAACATCCCCCGCCACAAAGGATGATGTATACAATCAGCTCTAAGTCACCCAACAAGTGGTCTAGCCCTCTAGAGAGGCTTTGCCCTGCATACCGTGCGCACTGGCAAATACATTCTGAAGGAATAATCATCTGAGAAACTGCAGCTTTGGCAAGGGGTCATGCGCAAGTAGGAACAAACACTGCAGCAATCGATACATCATTGGCATCGCCATCATCATCATCATCATCATCATCATCATCATCATCATCATCATCATCATCATCATCATCATCATCATCATCATCATCATCGTCATGGTCATCACCGTGACCGTCACGCTTAGCCAAACTAATTGGCGGCAATCATTGCACATGAGATCAGGGAGAAGGTCCGATTGGTGATGCCCAGGCGCCACAGCAACATCCGAGGCGTCACATCCCAATCCATAGGTGGCCTTTTGGAAAAATAGATAACCCTGGTAAATGGAATAAACCCCATCTAAACCAGGGCGCCTGCTTTTTAGCAAACCAACCAAAAAGGACACCTACGATCCCAATTTCACTCGGCCCCCCGAGCCGAGCCGTGCCGCTTGCATTGGGTCGACCAAGCGGCACATGGCGATCGGCTCCCGCAGGACCTCTGCGGAGGGCGCCTCGAAATCGGGGATGGCCTCCTTCACCGCACTCTCCAACTCCTGCACCGCCCCCAGGCGCCCGACGAGAAGCACCGAAGCACCGACCCTTTTGGCTGGGCCTGCGACAGCTCAGAGGCTGCGGGCCAAACCACCAGCCAGGCTCTTTCTGGTGTGCTTTTGCATGGGGTGCGGACTCCGCAGCGAAAGCAACATCAAACGTGCTCAACTAAAAGCAAACAAGTTTCCAACACCAGACCCAAGCCCAATATGTTGGTTGGTATTTAACATCCCTGCTTCCCGGCCCCTGTGCGCCCTCGGCAGCATCTGCCTGCATGCGCTTGATCACTATGGCCTGCTCTTGCTCCAAGACCTCCGAGGCGAAACAGGGGGCTGCCCCTGTGACAAGGCTACCATACGGGTGAACAAACCCAAGTCCACACGCGCACGCAGAGGTGTTTCAGTTCCCATCAGAGGAGAAACCACACACACAGACACGAAGACACACAACAAAACAACACAACACAGCGCAACACAACAAAACAGGGTTACCATATCTAATTCTCTTCTGTGAGGCCTTGCCGTTAAGATCGCAGAAAAGCCTGGAACTACTCTGCAAAACTCAGTCAGCTCGCTCACCTCTGCAATGCAAAATGTGCTTCTGACCAGCAAAAGCTTAGTAAGCCGTGCGGAAACTCAGTGCTTGGGCCTTTATTCCCATATCCTCCTTGCCCAAACTTTCAACAAGCCTCTCCTTCATCCCCCCGGCTGAGATGGAACCCCCCTTTGAAAACCGTCTTCGTATCTTAGTTGCTGTTGACGTTTACTGGAAATTCCCTTGATTCCCCCAAACAAATAGCCTAAAGATCCAACCCAATAGCAGTCAAGCTATGGAAGAACCTTCTGTCGGGCTTCATGTCAGGCGGAAAGGCAAGCCTTTGCCCATCTTTAAGGCGAGGGGCGTCCACCTCTGCCTCCAGCGTCTCCAAGGGCTTTGCCAACCGCTCACCGTAGCATGACATGGGCTCGTCCAACGTGCTGATGATGCGGCCTTATAGGCACAGAAGTTGGCCCCTTTTCTTGTTCTGCTCGGTGTCAAGTAGCATTGCTATTTTACCCAAAGGGAAGCCACTGGTTAGACTGGCTTTTTAGGCACAGGTCAAACACCTGCATTCTGACACTTGTGCTTAGTTCAAAGTTGGTTGCATTCACCTCACGAACGTAATTAGGAAGGGCTGGCGGGACCTCTGAATGTTCTATCAGGACTAAACACTTGCTTGTGAGTCTGCCAGTTCGTTTGCGGCAATCGGGCGTTCTCAATCTTCTGAAATGCGTCTCTGCTCCCCAAGGGAGATTTGGTGTGGCCAAGATACTCGCGGCGCCGTTGAAGGCTCCAAACATCCAGGAGACCTGCAATTGCTGGAGCCGGTTTAAAGGCAAGCACGGGGGTCCGGAGGTTCGTTGATTCATGGCTAGAGCATGTACGCAACACGGCCGGAAACGGCTGAGTGTTTCCCTAAAAGTCACATTCAATGATAGGTAGCAAACCCGACGAGGGAGTCCCATAGTCAGTCAAATTCAATGATAGCTCAAAACAACTGCAGGTTATGACTTTCTGCGTCTGCAGGGATTCTCGAGCAAGAGGAGGAGAAAGGATTGAGTACTCCTGCTGAACACGAAGACTGGATGTCAAGAAAGCCGCTCTGCCCAGTGCTTCAGCACACGTTCGCAATCGACTTTAATCATCAAACAAGGTGTTGCCCTTGCTCAAAGCCATACCATCCCAAAAGTAATTCTATCATGTGGCCCCTTCAACGAACCAAGCACAACCAGACCATACCGCCTGCACCTCTCCCAGCAACAGCCTGGGGCTTGAGACCTGCCAAGCCCACCGGGCACCACAAGACGCGAGCGCCTGGTGGGACCAACTCTGGGCGAAGGCCACGAACTGCAGCAGCCTGGGCCAAGTGCAGAGATAGGCGGGGCCATGCTTCAAAATCCCATTCCCAATCCCCACTAAAATAGACGAAATGGGTGGTGCACCTACCCCAAAATGGTACCATTGGTTTTGACCCACAGCCATAGAACTTTGGGAGAGGCCACATGTGGGGTAGGCTTGCGGGAGGGAATGCAACATGCGGGCACTGCAAGCCCTCCACTTTTGGAAAGCGAGTTCCCCTTTCTTGGGAAACGTTAAGATGTCTATTGCTTGAATATGACAATGCGAAACAGCATACTTGCAGGAAACGCAACGCACCGATGGGTTCGTGTGCAGCCATGAATGGTGGTTCACTCGCTGCTTCCCCCTGCCCTGACCTGGACTACCCAAAACTGTTAACGCAAGCTTCCCCCCGCCCACGCACGCTGTATAGTCTGCTGTGCACATTTGATTCGCCCATTGCGGCAAGTGTTTGCAATTCAAAACTCAAGCCCTACATGGTGTGGCGCAGGTCTCTTATGTATAAACCACCAAGCCTGCCGACACCTGACAAACTATTCGGATCCCGAGTGAACTGGGTTTCCTTGACAGGTCGCCAACCCACAACCCCCGAAAAACAGCAGGCCAGGCCGCAAGCCGAAGATACCGCCAATCAGACTGGCAACCTCCAGCTGGACAGGGCCTCAGTCCAACAGAGCAGCTATCATTTCGTTGTGCTGCCATGCAGGCCGGAAAACACAGGCTGGCCGGCAACCATCATCCATCCCTGTCCTGTTCAACCGCATTGGGCAGGCCTCATCCCAAAAAAATGCCAAGTTTCCAGCCACAGAAGCGGTTCAGTGCCACTGGCGATGTGACAGGGCAATTTGCGGCACATGGTCTTGTTCCCTTTTCTTAGGGCAGCCAGCACTCCCACGCCTCATGATGAAACACACATGCTGCCTGTTGCTACAGGTACTCCGTCCAAGCCCTTGTTTACCCGTGCCCCGGCTTGAAAGCACAAGACTTGCTAGAAGCAACGGCTGCGTCAAGTTGGGTGGGCCATGCAGCCTGAGGCGCTGATGGACAGCAAAAGAACCACCAGCAAAGAAACCAATGCCGCCAGGCCGATAAGGCGCAATGACAGGCAAATGCTCCAAATGTCCTCCTCAGGGGCATTCAGGGCACGACGCCGGTGAACAAATTGTGTCGAGTCCGAACCTGTCAGTGCCCAATGATTTGTTAGAATAGGCGCTAACAAAAACACACAACGCCTCAGGCATCTGCCCAAGATCACATGGGTATAAGCCTTTGAGGGATTAGAAGTTGCATGCTTCAGCTGAGGCTAGAAATTTGAGCAGCGGGAGTCACCGTGAGCCATTCACCATAATGGTGCGCCAATCTGCAACGAGCAAGCTGCCGTAGAAATGGCATCGCAGAATCAACCCCCAATCGTGCCAGAAGCTACTCAACAGCTGCAACCTAGGCTGCACGACAGTTTTCATCATGCTTTGTCCAGCCAGTCTTTCCTGCCATCTGCAGTAGCTACTAAAAATCCTCAACTACAAGACCTGCCAAAAGCAGCTACTCAACAGCTGAGACTCCCTACAGTCTTTCCATCTGCGGTAGCTGCAAGACCTCCCTCAAAGCCTTCCCAACAAAACCACTGACACGCCTGCGGGTCCAGCTCTACATGGCCTCAGCGCCAAATGGCCATGGCTCAAAATCCAAATGCCCCCAGTGAACATCCCAATCCCCACTAAAATAGGTTCTAAAATGGGTGGCGCACCTTCCCCAAAATGGGATCCCATTGGTTTTGACCCACAGCCAAATGAGGGTAGAGGTACTGTTTTTTTCCTCGCGCTGCTTGACCTGGGACTGCCTATTGGCTCTGATTGAGTGGCAGTTGGTTTGATTGGGGCGGATTTTGGCTGGCTTAGATCTTACTCAGGGTGGGTCTTTGGTTGGTTTGGGGTGCATTAAAGTTTAGGCTCAGAAGCCAGCCTAAAACCACCTGCAACTCTCAACTACCAAATTGGACGAAAAGCCAACCCCGAGGAAACAAAACATCTCATCCGCCAAATGAGTCACAATGAACACCATATTTATATTATATATATATATATAAAGGTCCACCCAAACCGATGAAAAAAAACAAACAAGCAACACCTTTTTATGGGACTGTCGCGTGCTACCCTCAACCTACTTGGGTTTTGATTGTAAGGGGTGTCCGCTTAACTCAATCGGGAAAACACTAAACACTTGGGGGCGGAGGGTCAATCTAAAGTGGGCATGACAGCATGTTAGCCTGTTGCCTGTTCATGTTCGCGCTTAAAACTGCAGAACGCAACGCTCATATGCCCGCGTCCAAAGACATTAGCACGGCAGCTCTTTAACAACAACTGGTTCAAATAACCAACCAGGCAGCAATTGCAGAGCTCAAACATCAATCCTGACAGTTGCCTGCAGTATAGCAGTGCAGTGCATGTCCATGAGGATCAAGTTGACAAACAAACTGCACCGGCATGGCTGAAGGACAGCTGAATACCTAACAGCAAAAGCCCAAATCGCAACAAATGAACTTCACTAATTAAGAGCTCAAGGCCCTCTTTTGGCACATTAGGCGAAGCAGTGTCTGCACCTCTGGCGAACATAAAGAATGAGTGGCCAGCGCAGGCGTGGCTGAGAGGTTGTTAAGCAGCAGCCGTGCGACGCACGACTGAAGTCAAACCAGTCGAAGATTGAAATACCGCCGAAGCAAAACCATCCAAATTCCGTCAACGACAGATACATCCGCTTTGCAGGTGCACAGTGTACTGGATAGGGCGGCTTTGGGATGGACTCTTCCCGGGCACTTTGGGCAAATGCTGAGGCGCGGAAGGCGTCGTTGCCCTCCTCCAGCGACACAATGCTGGAAGTCCGTGCCTGCCGGAGTTGCAGGTACCTCAGAGCACGGCCTTCGCCACCCTGAGGGACTGCTTCTTAGAGTACCTATCCAGTGGTCCCAAATGAATCAATTGGGCAATGACGGGCTGTAGCAAAAAGGCTCGCGCTGTTGCGCTGAATGATCTGAGGACAGGGGGGGTGGGGCAACCACAAGCTGAGTGGCACTCGACTGGAATTTTTGAAAACCAGGGGTGTCAAACTGGCTGCCTGTGCAGCAAAGCTGTTGGCCGGTGGTGGCGATGAAAGCTGCTTGGAGGGGTCTGTTCGACAAACACTTCCAATCAAGCAGGCTGGTTGAAGCACAACGTTCAACTGGTTGCCTTAATCCCTTGGATAGCTTGCGGCACATCCAACCAGAGCAGAAGGACGGTTCGCTTGGATTTGGTCTTCTCTGCAGGCTCCGCACACCTTCGCACGACAAGCTGCACGTCCTCCTTCAAATGGCCCACCGACGCCAACACCTGCCAAGAACGGCCGAAATCATGCGTTTGCAAAGGGGGAAAAGGACTAGCTATGCGATTCACACAGGCTTCTTCCTCAGGATGTAAGTGGGGCTGGCAGTTGTTGCACTTGCCTCATACGAATGCACACGACTGCAGGATGGCAAGTCAATCACATCGTACAATGTGGAAAGTCGGCATGACGAGCTCATCCAAAGCTGATCACTCTCGCTTTGCTGTTCTGCCTGCTGTGTGCGGGCGTGTGTGTTTCAAACAGTGCTGTCACTCATGCACCGTGCTACGAAGCAACTACTACAACGGCTCAACGATTCCCATGAGAGCTGACCAACCACGAGATCCTCTATCTGGAGCTCAGCCTAAGCCTCACCAGAAATGAAGGTCCATTGCACTTAGCGGAAGCTGTCCATGCTTGTATGGTCGCAGGATTCAATAACCGTGGATCGAGCAAGCCGGTATCCATTCCGAGTGGAGGTGGGGTCCCTTCTCTTTTGGCGCATTCCGCCGTTTCCTTGCAGTATTTAACAAACCGTCTTTAGGGTGTCCGATCGGTTTGTAATTGCTAAAGCCAAAGCCTAGCGTTCAAACATGTATGTTTTCCCAACATTGACCTCCTTCGGGGCAGCTGTTAAAAGCAATCGCTTCCAAACGTCCCCCTGTTAATCAAGGGCCCTGTTACGGGTTTCTGGCATACATACCTTGTGAAACCTTACATGGGTCAAATAGTAGGCCACAACACAGTGGAAAGCCCCGGGGTCTCATATTGTGTGGTCGCAACTCTCTGGATCATGGTCATGGCGAGTTTTTCTTGAGCATCGCCAACAAGGGTCCATCTGGGTGAATCCTACAAAGCCGCACTGAAACCCTGGCACGGACTAAAGATTCAAGGAAACTTCTGCACATTGCCACAGCACATGGCCCAGTAGGGCAGAACCCCATTCTGTCATGTTCAAAGCGGGGAGCCAAGTCTTCAAGCAAAGGGGAAAAAAACAACCACGAGCTGCTAACACCCCAAGCCCCTCGCACTGGCCGGCAACCGGCAGGTGGGTGGCGGCCTCTCGGAAGGCTTCTGCGTCGAGGCGGGGCAGCGCGAAACGCACCTGGCACTGGCTGTGCCGCTGGACATCACAGGCTGTGACGTGTGCACACACCGTCTCTACTGTACCTCGGACAAATATGTCTGAACATATCTACGTGAACTTACCGTACTTGCCTTTGTAACGCTTGAATTCCGCATATACATCCTGGACAAGGATATTAGCAATATGTGTTGGTATTGCTCGCACACGCTGGGTGATTCCCCTTTGGGCCGGTTGCTCTTGACGCTTAGGTTCTGGTTGGGCTGACTTGCCTCACATAAGCGAAAGATGGAGGTCATATGGCTTCATGCGTTCCTTCATCCCGGCTCTCTGTAGAACATGTTTTCACCCAGTTGCCTTGTGCACGCCACTGTGCAACATCTCCGCCAGCCGGGCCTCCTGAGCATTGTGAGGCACAGTTCCACTCCGCTGCGCAACAAATGTGCACGTTCAGGGACATAATGCAAGGCAAACGGCAGGCGGTCAGCAATGCTGCATTTGCGAGTATCCAACTACTTGATAGCTTGTTTCAAGGCGGGCCGCGCGAGAATCAATCTAAACGTAGCTCAGCGCTAGCGCGGCGCTAGCCGTTCTTGGGTGAACACACCTCGGCTGTCTCCAAACATTGCTGGCTACAAGCTTCTTGGCTCAAAGCTTGTTGGCTCAGGGGGGTTGTAGCCAGCCCGGCAATAGGATGTGGAAGCTTAAGTTCGCAGCTGAGGCTACTATATGAGTGCTGGCCAAAGCCTGCGTTCATAGTCTAGTCTAGGGATGGATATAGATGTTTTATGTATATTGCGCAGTGACCCCTTCTGAGACAGTACTAGAGTCTCAGAGTGGCCGGCAATAAACTGAAAACTCGGTTTCGCGCGCGCTAGCCGCACGCTAGCAGGCAGTTGCCAAACAGCTTGCTAAAGCCCTCGCCTCGTTGAAGGCCTTGCATAGTTTCTAGACTGCGGTTTCAGCTGTGAGAGCTCAAATAATTCATCCCAAAGCAACTAAAACAAAAAGCAGTTGTATGTTTGGCATTCGGCCCGGATGAAGCGGGCCGCTTGCGTTGATGATGAGTCCGAACAATTGGGAAACAACATTTTGACAATTGGCCAATCACTTGTTACTCACGGGCTTCTCGTCGGGCGAGCAGGGTGGTATGGCATCTTCAAAACTGAATCAATGCACTTGCCACATTTGGCCTGCGATACTCCTGACTCCTCAACGAAAGCATGCCTCCTGCCAAGCAAATCCAACTGCTAGCATTGAACTTCCAGCCAAAGGGCAGAGTCATCCAGCTTTGGCTCGCAGACCTGGCCGGTTTGCCGCTCTCAGGCCAAAAACGCCCTTTGGACCTTGACACCTAGCTGGGTGCCATAACTGGGTGGTCCGGCAAACAGGGAAAAAAAACACATGCCCTCGAGGTTGCCCCTTGAAGGTAAAGCAAACATCATAGGCTAATTACTTAGCACCCAAACAACAAGAGACATGGGCACAGCGACCTGCCGGGCGAACCTCGATCTCCTCAAGGGCGCGCTTCAGGCGCGCATCTGCCACCTTGCCTCAAGGCGAGGGACTTCGGATGGCCATGGGGACGAGTCTAAGGCCAAAATGGTGCTGAAATCAGCCAGCTGAAAGCGCCCGAAGGACTGCCTTCGCGATGCTGGACAGATAAAGATTTTGGCTAGCACCCATCCATGCCAAACATTACAGGTGAGACTTGGCACCTTTGGGTGAGTGTGTGTGGTAAGCCATCCGTAAATGCACTGTGCAGTACGCCCTCTACAAGCTGTACCGGCAAATGGCAGCTTCAGTTGAATGCACATACGCCTGCACGCCGGTGTTGTTGAACAGTCCCCGGAAGCCCAAGAAAGAGCTTCCCAGCGGCACGGAAGACATCTCAAACAGTGCAAACAGCTTTGAAGCAGAACACCTCATGTTGCAGCTAAGTGCAGCTCTGACAGTGGTCCAGGGCAAGCCAATGACAAAGCAAGAAGCGCGATTCCCTACATCAGTCAGCCCATCAGCCGACCACAAGATTCGCCACCAGCCCTCTGGCCAAGCCACCGGGAAGAGCCTCCGCCCGACACAAGTTAGGCAGCCGCTGCAGCAGCGTGGACATCGCCACGCGCACCGCGCGGCCGCGTATCGGCCCGCCCCCAGCCCAAACCGAGCATCAAACGGCTGCATTTGCCGTGGCTTCTGCTCAAAGCAACTCATCAGGCTTCCGAGCCAACCGGGCAAGTTAAGGAACCGCCCACCCTTGTCTGCAAACTCCTTTCGCCAGTGAACTGCTTGCAACAGCTGGTAAGGCATGAGGGCTGAGGCCGGTGACATCTCAGAAGCGCGAACTTCATCCCCGACCTTAGGAATGGGGCCCACGGATCAGATGCAAGCAAACTAGCAGCCAGTAAACACGTAAGATGTAGGTATATGCCTGCCTTGCTTGCAATTCACAACCTTCAATCTGTGGGCCAACGTGGACCACATATTGGGCCCACTGCAAACATGCACGTACATAGACACAAAGATCATTGCAGCTACAAGTTTGCACATATCACCCCTGCTGCTCACTGAAACCCCTCAGCTGCAGGCATTCTTGTCTGGATGCCATCCTTGGTCGGACAAACGCCAACCGCCCTACACAAGAAAATGTGAGAAGACACGTTCAAACAGACTACCTTCAGTCTCTTGCGAAATGCCTATGGCTGTAGCTGCCTAAGCTTGTTACATTGTGAGGGCCTGCAATTCGTCTGGAAGCATCGACGACAAATTTGGGTTGAACTCCCGTCTAGTTACATCAATGCAAGGCACAGCTCGTTCAAATGATTTCAACTCGCCAAATTAGCTGCCAGCTCCAACCGCCAATATGTGGCCAAGTTTCTGAGCTGCAGGTCCTTAAAGAGCTTCTTCCTGTCAGCGTCATTTGTCTTGCCTCGGGCGAGGGACGCCTGGATATTTGATTGAATCAAGCCAACTTCTTCCCAAAGCGCAACCAAGGAGTGCTCGACAGGCTACGGCTTGCAAGTGCCTACCGGTTCATGCCAGCATTTGCTAAGCTTTTCGTTTTGCAAAGCATCTCTCGTCCTCGCATGCTCCATTTGAGTAACTTGCTCAGCGAATCAAAAAAGATGGCTTGCGGCAAGAAAATCAAATCTCTTAACGCAAACAGATGCGAGGGGTCGAGTCCTGAGTAGTCTGTTGGTAGCATGACCCTAGTGAGGAAGTCTTCACATGGGGGAGCATAGGGCAATCTTCCAAGAAGGCACCCGCCCAACATGAAAGTCTGAGGCTCCCCAGGTCATGTCCCACCCAAACAAAGCTCTGGGCACGCCATTTTTGGGGGGAGTCTAAGGACCCTGGGGCGTCCGGCGCTTCAAGTGCCTCAGCTGTTGCACCTCAGAGGGGACTTCTGCCTTCACGTGTCAAGAGGCATGGATTCCCTTTCTATAGTGTGGGCAGACCACGAAAACTGGGTGTGTGGTTTTTTAGGAAACCATGAAGCGCCTGGAGCTCTACTTGCAATACAACATCTTGCAGCTAAGTTGAGTGTGAAAACTCGTGATTAGGGCTGCTGATGATCCAGGCTCAGTTTAACGGCTGGCTTCACAAGCCATGCCTACCCTAAATCTTGCGGAGTCTGGTCGAGGGGGGGGGGGGGAATGAACATAATTGAGTATTGGTGCCTCCCAGCTGGCTTGCTGATGAGCTGCTGCCAACAGCCGAGCGCTGTGGAGTTTGAGCAACGAACAACACAACCAAGCAAACAACAAGCAACTAAGCAAATGACTCCAAACCGACTCGCTAGGCACATGCTGCAATCAGTATGCAGCATTCAACATGCTCACCTTGCTCCATTTCACCGGTAGCGCCGGCGCTTCTTGGGAGGTGACACTTTGTCTCAGCGGGTGTGGTTCCGCTGGCGCAGGTCGCACTGGATGCCTTGACGTAGCTCGCGGAACCCATCGGTCCCGCCGGTTGCCGACATGGGAGATGCAGTGTTCAATCACCTGGGAGGATCATGCGGGAGGTCTCCATGTGAGAGGGCTGCACGAAGATATCCACCACGTGCATCCAGGACCTCGAAGATGAACCATGGTGGTCACTTGTCCCCATTCTGCAGCGGCAAAGTGGCCGAGAAGACGCGATGCATGAAGTCACCTCAGCCATGAAATCGGGACTCTTGGTGTGGGGCCTTCCCCTGAAAGCACAGCAGCCTGAAGCAACCGAGCTGCTGGACGGGGCCCCATGAAAGAGTTGGAAGCTGACACCCAGAGACTGCAAGCGCTGGAAGAAACCCAGGTGGCTCAGGTGGAAGACCGGCCTAGCGGAACTTCACTCCATGGCGCAAACTGTCGCAAGTCGCAACAAAGTTCTCTACAAAGTCGCAACTCATTTGGTTGCCCTGGCTTGTTGGTTGACTCGGCTTGCTGCTGAGTAAATTGATCAAAGTCAGCAGTCTGTGTACCCCTGTGCCTGCTATGCCGGATGGCCTTCCCTGAAAGCAAACTCTAGGCTTTATCATCTCGCGACAAGCTTCCCACAGCCCAAGTCTGGCTGGCTCAAAGGGATGCCAAAAAGGCCTGAACTCCGTAAACTATGGAAATCATATTCAAACTAGGTCCTCCAGTAGAGAGTTTAGAATAAGGGCACCCTTTTTCTGTAGTCTATTTTAGTAGGGGAACCCTCCTCCAAAAAAACGAAAAAGGGCTCTACTGGAGGGAGGACCTAGCAAAGGCCTCAGGTTGGGGCAACTCAAAAGCCAAGAGCGGCGAAGCGGCGTGCCCCAGCCACTGCGCAAGCTGCGGCCTCCAAAGGCAAAGCATGATGATGTTGCTTCTCGATTTGCACACCGGTAAACATAAGTCAACGTGCTCAACAATTCCGTTGATCAACGCATCACAACATGCAATAAAATGCAAGTGCATGTAAGAAATGAGAAGAGGCTTCAGACTTCCGAAGGCGGTCAGTATGCTTTACGGAAGCTAACTATGTTGGCTGATCTCTGATCGCTGCCCTGCAGAGAGGACGCGTGCGATAGAAGGACCAACTTGTCTGGCTGCACAAGAGCGGAGGCACGGCCTGCATCAGCAGCGTCGAGCAAACAGCTGGCAGCTTCCAGCATCATGGTGGCTGTGCCTTCATACCTTGTGGCTGGGCAAAGAAACACACGGGCAGCGCCAGCATGGGAGGCCCCTGAACTTGAGTTCATGCCGTCTGCCATTGCTGCAACATTCGTCTAATCTGGTTTTGTCAGATTTAGCGAATTGACCAGGATGCATTGGCGGGAACCTTTCAACCCCCTCCCATGTAGAATGAAGCTACGTGCCCCCTGACTTCATAGCAATTAATGACGAATTGAAAAAAGTCGGCACGCTTCTGATTCTGGATCTGTCTGCCATGGCGCCGGTCTCCTACGCCACCGGGCCCAGAATTCATCACAATGTGCATTTTCTGCTCTGCAGGCGTGTCTGCGACGCCAACGAAGACCTCCCCAAACGCCAAGACGCTGATGCTTGCTCTTCTGACCATTTGTGCCAGTAGAGGGCCCCTACTAAAAACCAATGTAGAAAACGTGTTTAGCTCGGACGAGCTTCACAAACACGTGATGGCATCACTCCTTGCATCTTCCCGACTCTAGAGAGGGGCTGCTGTTGCGAATTATTTAAAGAACGCACGGGGAGCAAACACATGACACAGCCATGTGATGCCCTTCCCTCATGCATACCAGCCCTTAGCTGACTCTGACCAGAGAAACAAAAACATTTTGCATGCAACACCTGCATCAAACAAGGCCATGCAAATTAAGCCCGGAACAGGTGATTCCTCAACCGCCGCGAACCGTTGGTAACGCGAGCCTTTCATCTTCAGCGTCTCTATAGAGGCGATGGCGGAGGAACGAAGCAACTCCTAGATTCATCTAGAATCTAGCATTGCAGCTGTGCCACCAATCCCCGATATTTCACTCCAGCATAAACCCTTTGAACAAACTCGTGACTACAACATTCCTCGCTCCAAAAGCTTGTTAGCAAACGGCTGTATATGGGACCCAGGGTTCAGAGAGCAAGGCTCTCCAGAAATCGGCGCCTTGGTGACAAAGGTCTCTTGGCGGATCCGCTCCTGCAAAGCTTCCAGGGTCGAATGGGAGGCTGGAGGCTGCTGAATGATGCGCACCGGAGCGAAGATTGAGCCCGAAACGAAGACAAGAGGGTGGCCTTCAGAAAGTTAACAAAGGCACCTGGGAGAGAGCCAAGCACTCCCCCCCACCCCCGTCAACCAAATCTTTCAATTCCAAACTCGAAAGGAAGCTCCCGCAATACTAAATCAAATGGAAACTCAAATCGAAACCTCAAAAGGAAGCTTCAGCAAAGTCAAAATCAAATGGAACCTCAAGTCCACCAATACTAACAAATGGACACTCAAACGTAATCTTAAAAGGACTCTCCAGCAATACTGAACAATTGAACTGACCTCCAGATGTTGTGCCAGGCACCTCTTTCATTAGCGGGCCCTTTTGCTAATCCACGCACACGACTAAAGACAGGGTGAAAGAAATGTTTGTCTTCAGGCAATACACTGCCGGACTATCTGGATGGGCACATCGCAGCCTCTGCCAGTTTCACAATAGTGAGCACCAGCTAGACTCTTGACCATTCGCAAGCCGGTCTAGCGCACGGCGAACGTCTGCGCCGCCGTACAAGTTGTTGGAACGTCCCATCGTCTCGATCATCTGCATCATCGCGCGTCGGTCCTCGTCAGCGTTCGGAGGCAGCGTACCCAAAGCTGATCCTGACGTGGCAAGCACTTCCTGCCACTTCAATAGTGCCCGCAGGAACCCGGCGTTGGGCTGTACAACCGGACGCTGCGCTTTCACATACTGCAAGTAGCGCCAGACAGACAGGGCCGTATCTTTTTCGGCTGCCGTGTCTTCAATCTTGAGCTGGAACCTTACCAGCAAAGCTACGACCAAAGACGCAGAGCGTGACACGCCGCACATGCAATGCACCAGAATGTGAGCATCCTTCGCCAAGTATCTGCTGTTCGTGTCCACGAGCCTTTCGGCGATGAGCCAGTCTGCAACACTGGCGAACGCATCCAGCATTTCTTGCTCCGCATCGGCCGCGTCGGCAATGTCGACATTGAAGTACTTGATTCCAGGGCGATCCGCGAATCGGTTCGGAGCACACTGGTTCGTTGCATTCACAATGTGGGTGAAATGGAATCCGTCAGGGCCACACACCACGCCTTCGTCCAGCGCCGCCGTCATGTCCGATAGGTACATGCCCGGAACGATCTCGGAGACGCGCGCCATGTGTGGGCGGCTTTTCAAGCAGAAGAATGCCCTCAGCGAGTACGGCGATAACTTTACATGACTTGGATGAATGAAGTAAACATATGCAAGACATGCAAGAACATCTGCATTTTGTGGCTCGCTTGAATTCACCAACTTTTTCCACTGGATGTCACGTCCTCAAAGGTGTTCACGGTTTGGGCCACTACCTCCAGTGCTTCCCGCTGCGTCGCAGTTTGACAAAGAAGCGGCTCATCTTCTACCCTCTGCTTCAAGTGACATTATGGGCTGGGGCCTGGTCGTGCCCGAAAGTTGTCTTAGGCTCTGCCATACAAACAAAACAACCATATATCAGCGGGGTCCGTTTCATAAAAAGGCCGATCATGTCACCGCACCATCCTCAATCTTATGCGGCCAGAAAGCTTTCAAAGTTCAGCTACCTTGCCCACCACGCTATCAACCCCAGCCACCTAGTGCCATGGGCGACATGGGGCGAGCAAAGGCTGCAGCCCGTCGGAGGGTGCTCCTTTGGACCCCAGCCGGGCGGAGGGATCTTCTTCAACTCCACCATCATGCTGTGGCCTACACAGACAGCCGCCGCGGCTGAGAATAGAAACAGACCAGTCAATCAAGCAACCTGATCTTACCCCACGCAAGGCCGACAGGACCGAAATTGAAAGGCCCCATGGATGGACAGTCGGTTTCAACAGATTGTCTATAATCCGTGACTCCTCAGCAGTACTAAAGTACTTAACCATACAACAAAAGCAACACACATAGAGCTCAGCCATCACAAAAGCACATCGCATACACGCCCCACTCACGCAACACACATACACACAACGCATACGCAACGCACACAGGTCACACGCACACAGGTCACACGCACACAGGTCACACGCACACAGGTCGCACACACACACACACACACACGCACGCACGCACACACGCACGCACGCACGCACACAGGTCACACACACACACACACACACGCACGCACGCACACACGCACGCACGCACGCGCACGCACACGCACACGCACACACGCACGCACGCACGCACGCACGCACGCACGCACGCACGCACGCACGCACGCACGCACGCACCCGCACGCACCCGCACGCACCCGCACGCACCCGCACGCACCCGCACGCACCCGCACGCACGCACGCACGCACGCACCCACACGCACGCACGCACGCACGCACACGCACGCACCCACACGCACGCACCCACACGCACGCACCCACACGCACGCACCCACACGCACGCACCCACACGCACGCACCCACACGCACGCACCCACACGCACGCACCCACACGCACGCACCCACACGCACGCACCCACACGCACGCACCCGCGCACGCACGCACGCACGCACGCACGCACGCGCACGCACGCACGCACGCACGCGCACGCACGCACGCACGCACGCACGCACGCACGCACGCACGCACGCACGCACGCACTCACTCACGCACGCACGCACGCACGCACGCACGCGCCACACACCCACGCACCTGCGGGCAAATCGCACACCACATACATATTCACAACACACGCACGCAACTGCACAAACAAACAAACAAACAACGTATCATGCACAAAATCACAGACACACACACACACAACACACACACAAACAAAAGGCACGCACATGCGGAGCACTCACACAAACACACAAACACCACGCAAGCGTACAACTTACAAGTACAAAAAACAAATATATATATATATATATATATAAATATATATATATGCATTTATATCAGCAACCGACCAAAGAGGCTCACGATGCCAAGTCGCCGCCACCCCCAGAGAGGCTCACACCAATCCTCATCTGCGCTGATGCGAAGACGGTGCAACATTCGAACAATAACTCTGACAACAGTGTAACGGCTCTGTCAATGCCCATTACAGCACACATGGGATCCCTTCGAATTTGGTAGATCCTGTAGAAACGACCCCCTTTGAGTGCCCAATGTCTTCACCAATGAGGCTTCGGCGTGATAGTTCCAACATAGCTACAGCTGACCCGAGGAAGCCTCAAGCTCGAGGATAGGAAGAAGCTGTCCGCCCCTCTCTGAAACCACCTTTTTGCAAAGCCAAGCTTCCCCGACAGCCGAGACGCCTGGGCGCTTTCCTGCTTTGTCATCCTCGGCTTTTTCACAAAAAATGCACTGCCATGGGAATGGGGAGAGGTTGCAAAAATGACCCTCCATTCACATGAGCATTGGCCAAATTCGATCTCTGGAGCCTTAACTTGCCAGCAACTCTCCCCAAACCCACCCCGGGCCACCATATATATCCTCAAATCACTATTACAATTTGCGGGTTTGCAGCCTAAGTGCGCACACACACACACACAAAGAGGCAAGAAAACCAACAATTTCTCCTCTGAAGCCGCAGCTCAGCCGAGGTGCTCTTCCGGCCTTTTGTCGACGACGAGGAACCAATCCTCTGCTCACATGGGGGGGGCTGAGCGGCTGAGCGTGGGGCGAACATGAGCCCAAGGGCAATGTGTCCTTTCTTCGTTCAAAGCAACCAGCGACATCAAAATCATGGCTTCTGGCTTTCTGTGAGGCTTGAACATGGTTTGAGTCACTCAAACGCCCACGGGGTGCAGACTTGTCAAGGTGAATTCCGCCTTGGGTGAGAAAAGCAAAATGGAGCGTTGATCATATCTGAAGCTCATAACATCTTCAAGTGCGCGAGCCTTGCGTTGCATGTGAAAGCCTGCGAAAGCGCAAAAGTGTTGGAAATGGTGCAGCTGAGCACCTCACTGCAAATCAGCGTTGCCTCCAAAGCTTGGACTGAAGCAAGCCTAAGGAATGCTGGTATTCCGCGGAATGCCTCAACTAGCGGAACAAGCAGAACTAGTCCGTCAGTGAATCGCCAAACGATTGCAAAGGACTGGAACATCTGAGGAAATCCTTGGCTGGGGGCCACTGAAAAACCACAGAACCGTTTGACCCCACAGAACGCATCCAGTCCGGCGTGGCATACCGCGCAGTCCTTGAAGAGGAAGTTGGGGCCATAGGGCTGGGTCTCATCCATCAAGCCGCAGCTTCCACGCACCACTTGACGGTCCACGTTCAAGCCCGGAAAGGCGATCATGGATGAGTTCCTGAGGCGCGTGCCGGGTGGGTGCTCAGTTTTGCTGACTACCCGTTTTAGGAGCCACTCATGATCAAGGCAACCTCGAACTCAGCTAGTCGCCGAATCATCATATTAAAGCTAAAGTTGGCATGTTGAACGTATTCAACAGCAACAACCAACAACCAACAGCCAACAAACATAACCACCACCACAACCACAACCACCATGGCACTGCTACTGGGCAGGGGCCATATCTATTTGCTTGGTTTTCAAGAGAAACCCCATCCAAAATGCTGGTATCATAGGTCAGCGTATTGCACTTTTTGCCGAGGGTCTCGTCCTTGTGAGGCACCTCGGTGCGATCCTCTGTGCGGATGCCGCCCGGCCGGACGCCGCCCAGAACAAAGGGAGCGCCATGGGCATTGAGCTCCTAGGGCTAAAACGTAGCCACAACGCAACCTGCTAAGAGCTTTCTGGGTCTGAACTCTGATACTTGTCTGATGGTTCTCGCAGTGCGGGAAGGCTCTATTAGTAGGTTCCAGGCAAGAGCTCAGCTGGAAGAAAGCTACATCCTCCTCAGGCACTGGTGAAAAAGATAAAGCGAGGACTTATTTTTCCACAGCTGGCAAACGGATGTCTACCCACTTGATATGAGTCCGTTGGATCGACTTGGAGAGAGCTTCAGCAACAACCTCTCCGGCTGCGTTGTGACGAAGAACTGCCCATTCCCTCCTTAATTGTGCTCTTGGTGCCTGTCAGCAAGCTGGTGCCGCTCATCACAAAGCCTGGCCACACACACACATATATGCAGCTTGCGCGTCAAATATCACAGCTGGGGGGTCATGTAACGTACTCCACCCTCCTCGACACGGGCACAGTAGACCCCCTAACAACACGGTGATACTTAGAATTTAGTAATCCCCTGCCAGCTGTCAGTTTGCAAAGCTTCTTGACTACTTTTGCTGCTGCCAACCCATATCCCTTTTTTGGCGGGCCTGCAATATGGACCCAAAGGCAGGCACCAAGAGTAAGCCCAGCCTTGGGTGTAGGTGTACACATCCACCTTCCGTGTAGGGCCAAAGTGCTCCGCTAGCTCGGAAACCAATCGCCAGACCTTTGGCCGTCAAACCACTGCACCTCGCCCTCATTGGAAACCTACTGGCTGCTTTTGCACGAACTGGCACCGGCCGGAGGCACAAGCAGCAACAAAACCAACCGCACAATTCATCAGGAACAACAAGCAAGCTACAAAAAGCAAGTGCAACGGGGATGCACCCAGCAACATCAACGTACCTGCTGCAGTGTGCAACGGAACATAGAAGTGAGTGCTTTCAAATGCTTCGGACACATCTAAGCCAAATCCAACCGATCTTCTGTCAATTTGTCGAAACATGTGCAAGAAATGACAGCGCAAGTGCCACTGTACGATTGTTTCGCAGCAAATATGTGTAAATCTCCATACGGGACCCCATGGTGGCATCACTCCTGTGAGTTTGTTCATGTCCACCAACCCTCTGAAACCCATGCTCTGAGAAGAGCAATCGGCCAGGCCGCCCCGAAGTCGGTCGGCAGCGCCACATAACCAGCGTGCAGGAGCAAGCACACGCCTGCAGCCTCAGTGTTGTATACCGGTCCATGGTGGGTTGCCTGGTGAGGCAGGAATGATGTTCGCCTCCCAACTACTGGCTGCACCTGCAAGGATGGCCTTTCGATCCCAATGGTTTCGATGGCTGGGCTTTTCGTCATGTGTGGCGACTGGAACAGATCTGTGGCATCCGGAAACTACAGCGAGATGCTGACTCCAGCACCATAACACGCAGCGCCAGGTAGCTTTTGCTTTCTCGTCCAAGGAGTCCTGCAGCGCAACAAGTTGCGCGCCGGGATTCTGAACGGGACACATGGCATCGTGGATCCAAAAAACAACCCCTGAAAAAACAAAAAGAGGCATGGCCGTTGGTGCATCACACGCTCCCCCAAACCAAAGGTGGCATTGTCGCAAAGAGAATGGTGCCAAGCAAAAAGGGTTTGCAAAATGCACGCCACAACTCGCACGGACAAATTACATACATACATATCCAATCGCATGCGTACAACTCCATGCTTGCCAAGCTAATTTTCCTGGTTTCTTAGAAAGCTCCGGCACATGTAACATCCAACCGCAGGGGCAGAATGGGCAGCACAAAAAACAGAACACACAAGCTGCAATGCGTGTGGACCCCGGCAAAAAAGCAACGGCGGGGTTCCATTCTCCTTCACCCTCCTGGAGAACATGATGTCGCCCGTGTTATCCTCAGACTTGCGCATACACGCCAACAAGTTCGCTTGCGATCAAGGCCTGCAACGCATCCAGCACATCTACACAGTAATATCGAGCAAACCGATTTGCCAAGTGCGCCCAGCATGTCACCGGCCTGCGAGCAAGAATCATAAGCCAAACCGTGGCTGTGCAACCAGGGCTCGATTAAATGCGTTCCGCATTCAATGCAAGCCTGAAGCAAGGCTGCTGGCAGGCACAGCATAAACTAAGAACAAAAACACCCTGGCGCAAAGCTCGTACGAATTAAGCAACACCCCTTGCCCAAACTGCATTGCAGTGCCTGCTACTGCAGACCTCAACGATGCTGCATTGCGAGCCAAGACCTCAACTGAAACCGCCCATGGGGAGCCTGGCGGGTGACTGCCGGGAACAATCCGACCAAATCACGAATCATTTTGAAGACCAAGCAGAAGAATGACGAGTATGTGGGTGCTGATGCCGACAAACATATTTGATTGTCTGCTCCTTCCGCGGGAGACAGCCCAAGCACACATACACACGCACCACGCTGCAATCCCGGAAGCAAACTGAAACACACCAAACCGCAGTCGCAAGTAAAACAACACAGATACAAGCCAACACCAAGCCAAGACCAACCCAGAACCAGCTCGAGCATTACAAGGTCACAAAGCAGCACCTAAATATTCCAAGCAAGATAAAAGTTGACCGCTCTCTGGGCTTCCTTTGGTGCTTGTTTACACATGCAAGGGGTTGCGTGCCCGCCAGTACTGAGGGATGGGAACAACAAGTTATTGCTAGCCTATGGTACTTTTGGAGGGGCATGAGGGGACTCACTCAACTTCCCACCAAACCTAGTGGGACGGCTTGAGATGCTCAACTTATGCTCTGCCACTGAAACCATGCCTCGTGCCGCCTCAGCATGTGGCGCTTTCTGGGTGGATTCAGATACTTGATCTATCTATTATCTGGGCGACTTCAACCTTCATATTTCCCTGGAGGCCTGCGAGGTCGCTAGGTGCTTCTCCCACGGACAACCCTGCCTCTGCGACGCTGGGTCCCACATCGTGGGAGGGCCCAGTGAAATCCATGACCACCCGGGCCGAGCCAACTGCTTTGACCAGGTCCTGCCCAAAGCATCACAGAGGTGAGGAGCAAGCCCCCAAGGGTTGGGCCATCTACCTCCAAAGAAGGTTCCACGTGAGCAGCCAAAGTCGCTAATCCACAAAGATATTGATGATCTCACTGGCCTCCCGCTTGCAAGTTAAATCCATATCTAGTTTGTGTATGCCCTTGGCTTCTCTGGTGCGCACGAAATCGCTCCGGGCCCTATTGCAAACACGCCTGGAGTCGGACGACTGCACTTTTGCCGCGCGCCGCTGCGAGTTGGATTGGAATCGATTTGCTTTCGCCAATATTCACCTCTCCCTCTGCTTGGCCTGTGCTCAGGCAAGCCCAAGTGGGCAGGTGCCGTGGTTTCTTTCTGGCCATTTGGTTCAATACATGCTTCTGAAAAATAATCTCCATGGCACGGCTGAGAGGTTGCAATTCGAATGTAGCATAGCTGGGCATGACACACCCACTGCCAAACTGGTGGGGACCATCTGCCCAACGGTGCGTGTCTGGAAGAGCCCGGCTGGAAAGCATTCATACGCAGCAGCCATGGGAAGAACCATGCTTGAGGTGCTCACACGTTTCAACCGTCACAGATTCCAGTCGGAATAAGCGAAAAAGGTCGGCCCGGAAGTTCACGAACCCAGCTTGGCTCGCTCAAATGTGATTTGTCATCTCATCCATAGGCCCATTTGTACATATATATATATGTATATATAATATGTCTATATATGAAATGTGTATATATATATATGCTGGTGACCAGGAAAACCACCCCCAACCGGGGGCAAGGCCGCCATGAATTTCCTAACGTGACGACGTCAGGAGCAGTGCGTCTGACGACGCGTTGGGTCGTCGAAGGCCGCCTCACGTGAACTTCTTCAGCGCCTGCAGGAAGCCTCGGCCGCTCGCCGGAGGCTTTGGGCAAGCTGGCGAAGAAGCCGAAGCATCCTCTCTTGCTGACACTTGAACATATCTGACAAAAAGCACTTGGTGAGTTGCCGCAGAAACTAGAGGGGATGTCCAATCCCCTAAGTCCCTAAGTCAGCCTGCAGACCAGAAGACGCTTGGATGATTCCACCCCGTACCCTTCCTTTGAATCTTCTCACAGATCGGACAGTGTCTCAATGTGATGTGTGACTCCACGCATGGTGTTTCTTTTGTTTCCTTGCCTGCCAGCCTGACATGAGAGCAAATCACTAATCCCATAAAAGACACCCGCAAATGCGTCCGGCCGAACAACTCGGTCGGACAACTCATGGAGATTCAAAAAAGACATGTTGCGTCTGACCGAAAAAGAAAAGCCAACAAAGACACGGAGTTTCAGCCCTGTTGCGTCTGCACTGGCCTCGGAGCATTCAAAACTGATCCCCTCGCCGAGGGGCCGAAGATCAGCGACACAAAGCCCACCAGCACCACCAGGCCGTGGCCGATTTGCCGCGCGGGCGGCACCGGCGGCACGACGAGGCCCTGGCGCTGAGCCAAGCGCCGGAGCTGGTAGAAGAAGACCAAGGGGAAGAAAATGCCTCGAGAGTTTCGACGCAGGGCAGGTGGGCAGGTGGGCAGGTGGGCAGGTGGGCAGGTGGGCAGGTGGGCAGGTGGGCAGGTGGGCAGGTGGGCAGGTGGGCAGGTGGGCAGGTGGGCAGGTGGGCAGGTGGGCAGGTGCTTGCTCCCTGGTGCCTGGTGCTGGGTGTCAGGAAGCATTGGGGTTTTGAGTCAAATCGAACACAGAGGGACCTAGGGGAAGGTCTGGACTCGCTGAGCTGGATTTTGTTTGTGGCTCAGGCGGGGAGGATTTGCTTGCCTGAGTGGCCGGTTGCGGCCAAGTTGTTGCAAGCTGGGGTCTTGCGTTTGAATGGTTCCTCTTGGTGCCTGCGCGCTGCTTGGCCGAGCGCGGCATCCTCTTTTGCGGGGACGTATTTAGGCCGAAGGTGCTCAAGAAGCTCCCAAACACTGCCGAGACCAAGCTGATCACGTCCTGCGCTTCCGCAAGCCGTCCGGCTATGACAAGCTAGTTGCCCTTGCGGACCATCAGCACTTGTCACCCATGCTCAAACCAGGGCTCAAGGCCTCTCGGCTATCACGATTGCTGACAGGGGAGCAGCCCAGTCCATGTCACCAACAGGGTCTTGTTCAAAGCAGAAACCTCCAACATGACGAGGGTGCCACTCGAAAAGCTGTTTGGCAACTGCGCAGTGAGAACTGCGTGCCATCAAGCGACTCCCGGAAATGCCAGTGCCAACATGCCATGCTTCATTCCGCGCTTGGAAACAATTGAGCTATTTAACAGCTTAACCGTTTCTTCATATTTTTTGAACAGGTGCTGCTCTCCTAGGCGCGCCCAACTCTGGTTGAGTGCAAGCGCTTCTTGTGCGCAACACGCAATGTGGCGAATATTTTTCAAAATGTGGGTTCTTTGTACACTTTCGGGCAGGCTCGATCGTGACTATTGGTTCAATTGCTTGCCTATAGGTGGTACATCCAATGTCCCACCCGAAGATCCTACCCCCGTTGCCTCGTGCTTCCAGCTACGATTCTTGCACCCAATTCTTTCACTTGCCAGTCTAGTAGGTAAGCCGACATTAAAGAAACAAGCATAGTAATGGTATTAACCGTTCTCTGACGCAATTGATTGCCGCCAGTGCTGTACGAGCAGGCGCAAACTGCCGGCAGGGCCGCACACCTGAGTGCAACATTTGATGTTTGAACGTGGCCAGCCGCGGCTCCTTGGGCGACTCGAAGAGCAGGCCGAGTTGAATCAGCATTAATGCCGTCACAGCTCTGAAGGCCATGTTGATCCTGGGAAATCCAAGAGGTCTTTCCGGTTGAATTGTCCCTGAATTCCTAAAACAAGATGCTTCTTTTCAGGAATTTGACCCTCCTCAGGTCGGTGCGTCGGCCAACAGAGTTCTCAAATAATTGGGCGGGCTGCCGCTTGCAGCATCCAAAATGATGGCAGCCAAATAGGGCCCAAACCCAGCTTTGGCACCCGTGTGTGAGAGCATCTAGATATCACAAGGCATCCTGTAGGCAATCCCCAAAACACGAGCGTCAACTCACTTTCGCTGCTTGAATGCTCTGTGCTCAACCCAACCTCAGCCCTTGAAAGACTACAATCGAACCACACGTGCTTGCTTGGCGGCCGCGTTTCGGGTGCAGCGGCTTAGCGAGGTCACCGGGTGCGACGCTCTCAATGAAGCTGATGACGGTAAACCAAATAAGGGGGAAGCTGATCCTGAGCGCAGGGCAAACCAATTTCAAGATTTGAGCTAGTGCCGACAGCATGTTTTCGCCTGTTGCAGTAGACCAAAAACAAGGCCGAGCCAATGTTAAGCAACAGGTGGACAACCATGCGGCAAACCCAATGACTTGATCCCGGTGATTATACTTCGTTTGTTGGCTGCAGGGGCAGCTGGTCTTCGGGTGCTGAATGACTGCCGGTCACAAGGCTTGCTCACCACAGTGGCTGCAATGGTTCCCGGGCTACAGGCATGTTTGTTACTTGGATTGCCAGAAGGGCATATTTCAGGCCTTGCCGCATTGCATTGCGAACAAAAGACCAATGTTAATGTTGTTTGCCAAACCGGAGCTAGTTAGTGACTATTGCGTTGATGAGCCAAACGAGTGTCACCTTTCATTTCAGGCTGTTGTGTCTTGACTAGGCCCAATATCGCTGCAAGGTATCAAGAGGTTGATGTTCACGCCGCCATTCGCAATGTGAGCGAGGATGCATTCCAGGCCTCCAGCCGAAAGGCTCTAAGCGGCAGCCCCGCAAAGAAGGTGCTTCGTAAAGCCAAAACATCCATGAGTAATGGATCTATGTAAGTTCAGCGGCATGGTAATTGCATATGCACTGTTTTGCTGTACACAGCCTTGCTCTTGCAATCTAGAAGTGCACGTGTTTGTGACGCTAGCTTCCACACACCCCTTTGACTAAACACCCAAACAGTGGAATGCAGCATGCGCCCCGATGTGCCCCGACTCAAGAGAATCTGCCTGAACAAGTGGAAGAGATGGACATGATGACGTTGTCACGCACGAGGCAGCCGAAGCCCAGATAGCCCAAGAGCATCACCACCACGCAGAAGCCACAAACCACTGCGAAGCCAGTCCTTTGAAAAGCAGGGCTTCACGCGCGTGAGCTTTTCCACCCTGCGAGCCTAGCCTTTGGGCGTCCACAAGGAAACACTAGTTCACACTTTCACACACCGTGGACGTGCACACGTTTGAAATATGACAGACCACGGCCAGCAAAGTCTGCAAAAGACAGTTTTGGACTCATTGGCGTTCTCTATGTGGCCAGCACCTTCAACCAGCGCGCGGCCCTCAAGTGCATTGCGCTCTGCTCTTTGAATAATTGCTGCCTGTCGCGCCACCGATAAAGACTCGTGTGCATGTGAACATGCAAACAAGTAAGATTCAAATCTCGCATACCATCACATCAAATACCGTGAATTCCCAAATTTGCGCCGTGTATGACAACGAATTCAAACAGAGAACCGCTGATGTCAAACACACCAGCTTTCACACCATCCTGGACAAATCCCATTGGGTTCCCAAATCCAGCTGCAGAGCTGTTGGTCTTGGTCAAGCTTGCGGCGACACGAGTTTCAGGCTGTCCTTAAGGCGCCCGCGAAGGTGTCCGGGTCAGCCATCTGCCCGCGGATGCTGGGCACGTTCACCTGTCATTCTGTTCTAGGATAGCTGCAACAAAAAATCCAGGGTGTTCAAAGATCTCAGACATGAATCATGTTCAAAGTCTCAGTGCAGCAAAATGCAGCAAATACATGACATAAAGCAAACGAGACAGGCTGACGACCCCATCGAAGCCAAAAACGAAGACTGAGAGGCCCGAACCGATCTGAAGCATGTCGAACATTGCAACGCTGCGGGTTCGGCCCGGCATCTCCTGCAGGTATCACAGGTCCCTTCCCGTCCCTTCTGGTTAGTGGGAACAGTGGGGGCAACTGAGCAGAGAAAGCGTCGGCACACAAGCAAACAAAGACAGACCTTGCCCACGACGGATTCTGAAATACAGCGTCGCAGCGATTCTGGAAACGAGGAAATTCAGCACAGCTTTTGGCTGAAGTTGTGAAATTTAAGGGCTCATTTATTCGCTTAAGGCGGAACACATGCTGCGGCTGGCCCTCAGTTTAGGCGGCTGTATGGCCCGGCCGCCCAACGATGTGCCAAAACAAGTCAACCCCCGAGCTGGACCGCGAAACGCAGCTTGCGCTTGCGCTGCTCTCCTGCAAGCTTGCGAAAAGGGATCCCACGCAAATGGCGCAGCACTGGCCAAAGACCGCTGCTGTGCCCAGCGGCGCTACCCTTGCCAGCTGCTTCCTGAATGTTGCAAGGACGCTGAATCAGCTCGGATTGGGCAAGCCAGTTTTTCAGGATTGACCAGTTTGGGGCAAGGCAAAAACATCATGCTTCCCAGCTGAGTCCTTTCCAGATCAGCGCTCCTTCCAAGCGAAGCTCTTCGAACAGGAAAGATGATTGGAAGATAATATCAGATATGCGCGCGCACACACACACACACGCATCTCTCTCTCTCTCTCCACATATGTGGTATGTTTTTAATCCACATACGCAAACTCCGTGATGAATGCTCTTGTCGGGTAGGGGTGCCACAGGACCTGAGTGACTTGCTCAGCTTCTGCCAAAATTCCCATCAAAGCCCCAGCTTGATACTTATTACGTAGACGGTAGGTTATACCACTTAAAGTGTAAGATTCGGACTGGTGTCATTTACCAGCGCCTGCCCTAAGACTAGTTGGTGTTTGCATCAAAAACCATACAGTTTGAGCAAACGAACTGTGAAACAATTCCGAACAGACCCGAAATGACCCGAGCCATAGACTTCATATCTGGGCCAATGAGGCTCCATGCCTGGCTCTTGAGCTTGGTGGATGGCGGTCCTCTGATTTGCTGTGAGTATTTGCGGACCTTCCCGGTCAAAGGGTTGATCCTTCATCCCATGCAGTAAAACTAAAACCGAGAAAAAAAAAGGAAAACAACAAGAGGAAAAACAAAGGGACTCAGCCTGCATAAAAAACACTCCGAGACTCCAAAAATGGGACTTGTTCTGGGATGACTGCTGGTGTCAATTTCATACCTTGCGGCACTCTGAACTGCCCCGCCAAATATTTGTTTTATCATACTGCCCATGCCAGTAAGGGATTCCAGGCAAAGGATCTCATGCTCAGCTCGCGCTGCCCCAAGGTGAGCTCGCAACTAAATAAAATAGGCGGAACCAATGGACCACTTGCTGCAAGGCGTCAAGTTCGTAATCATCGACAGCGCGACCACTGCCGGAGCAACGAAGAACCAGCGCACAGCACGTTCGCTGTGCAAAGAGGGTGCAACGTCCGCCAGGAATGATGCTATGCCTTCAGTGAGGAGGACAGTATAGACGAAGAGCGAGCCTGAGTTGGTCTTGCTCGTGTCTGTCGGTGCTTCCTTCTCGCTTGAGATAGCTTGCAAGACATGTCCGCCGCACTGCGCGCGCTCAGCCGGACCCGAAAACCACAAATCTGAGTTCATCATCGCGGCCCAGGGCGTAGCTGTTCTTCGTGACCGCCAGCACCGTCTTGCCCAGGGTACCGAAGGCTTCCCCTGCCTCGGTAGCAGCGGCCGAGCAAACCCCTCAGCCCAACAGCTAGAGTCGATGCCTGTAGACAGAATGCTCACAGGAGACGCTCAAGGCAAGCAACAGGACGGCACTAAGTGTCCCTTCAAAACCTGTGTAAACATCCTGGACTGCACACAAATGAGCCGCACGTACTTGACCAACCTATTAAAAAAAAGACGACGTGGGAAAACCACGGAAAACTGGGCCATGTCTACCCCCAATTTCAACAAACCTCGATCTGGCAAAGTGGCGTAGCTAGCTTTCGCAACAATGGAGGAAGAGCTCACCTAGGCTCCTTTGATAGCAATGGCCTTTGCCAAGCATCCAACATGCATGATGCTCGATATAACATGCTAGTTCAAACATACTTGATCAACTTTGGCTCCGTCGTTGGCCAATGCGCGGAAGAATGTTAAACATGATTTCTGATGACATGCATATATTTAGTACAGCCTGGTCTTGACAAGTACCGCAACTTCAATGTCACCTTGTAGCAAACCTCGCAGCGTCCAGCAGCCTATGCCTGTGCGCTCGTCGTCCCTTTCGTTTCCCGCAAGCAAAGGAGCCAAGTCCTCGTAGTTGGTGCAGGATCCCGGGGAATCTTTGCGCAAAGCCTCCAGGCATGGGGCGGGGCAAAGTCAGGTTGCCATGGCGTGCCATTGAAGGGACCCTTTTTGCGGCTTCACACGTCTGTTGGGAAGAATGGTCATAAGTAAAGCCTGTTAGCAGCGATCCTTGCGAAGGTCCTAAGTCTCAAAGGTGAATGTAAGCCGGCTCCATAGTGAAGGTCCGAATCTGCACTGCACTGGTGCCTCTGCCGTTGCATTCGCAAAAACGATGATCCACTTGGTAGTTGGTCTGTTGACGTCGCTGGCGTACATGGCGGCATTGTGACAAACACCCCATCACTATAAACTATAATATCCTGAACTTCCTCATGCTGATATTAATGATACAGGATCTGAGCAAAGTCGACTTTGCAATCGAGCTTATGCCACCTTGCTCCCTTCCTTGAACGGGAATCATGGTCTGCAAACATGACATGAAGAGTTGCCAAAAGGAAGGCCCGTTTCCTGTAGGGTCCATCAGACCCACTCCTCAACTCGAACCTCAAGCTGGATGGCTGGAGGCTACGATCCGAGGTTCGCCTCTGTGAGCTCGCAGGAAGCCACCATCAGCCTGCCCGACTCCTAAGGTGACCAGGTGACGAGCAAAGGGGCGACGGGACAATAAAGCGCCGCACAGGCTGGGCTCTTCAAATAGTCCTCAAATAGAAATTGCCGCTGCTTATGATCGAATATGTATCATTTGCGGCACAGAAGCGAAGATGTCGAAATCACATTCTGTTTTTTGACACAAGGCTGCCGGCAAAGTTAGGTGACAACCAGTTTGGAAAGTCATTCACAGTGCTATTCCTACCAGTCATTTCATGAGCTGTTGCGAGGAAGGTGTCTTTTCTTGACAAGTTGTCGAACCATCACATGATGAGGATAATTTAATTGTTAACCAAGCCATCCTACGTAAAGTAACCGTAAGGCCACCGCTGTTGGACCCACAATGACCCGCCCTCTTCAGGGCATCCATAAATTCAAGGCTGACAATCTCTTGACCAGCAGTAAAATTACAACATTCCAACACCAACAATATCCAGCTTGGCCTTCAGCCTGTGGGAGCTAAATAGCTAGGTATCAACTGGCATCCCCTGCGCTGCAATGAATTCAGAAGCCCTTCCTCCGGACAAACGTTGAATACTCAAGCAAGCCGTTGCCACATCTCACCGAGCACGCAAGTGCATGACAATTGACAAGTCTCGCCGACATGTGATGTGCGTCAAACGCTGCAATTCAATGAAGCTGTTTTAGAGGCAATCATGTTCTCAGTAAGCTTGCTCCCTCCCAAAAGCAAACTAACAAACACATGATGGGAAGTTCTTTTCAAACCAATCAGTGTTTTCTCCGCATGGGGAGGTCATATCGCCCTCAACGCCAACATGTCAACATGGGAACCTGGATGCGGTGCATCCTGGAGAATCTGCAGGGGTACGTTGTCAACAATCTGACTGCCCACTGGCCACAAAAACACTGCCCCAGAGAACTTGAAATACCTTCAAGTCCAGCGTTAACCTTTGGATGGGTCGACAACTTGACAGACATGGCCAAGCTGCGAAGCACACCCCGGCCGCCACACAAATCAGGAACAGTGCAAGGCCAAGGCCGTTCTGGGCCATGACCTGGAGGGGAGGACACATGGCCAATGAAGCTAATGGGAAGCCAGCTTTGAGACATGCTTTCAATACCATCCCCAGTGGCAACAGCAAGGCCACAACGGCAGTTGGAGATCCCTTGGCAGGTCTGAGGCAAAGGGAGTAAAATGGCGTGTCGGCCTTGCTTGCCCCCCTTGCCCAGCAGCTCCACTATCCATGTTTGCTGCGTTCGGAAGTCCCAGTTCTAAATTACAGTGTTCCCCTGACATTGATGCTGATACTGCCGGGTAGGGTCCGACAAATTCTGCCTGATCCGGCTGAATTCAAACAAGTATGGACGGCATAGATTTGTCAGTGCCCAAGGGCCATCCAGAGCACTGCCATGGGTCTTAGCGGCGCCGGGCCCATTGCATGTCGGGCCCCGGAGCCTTGGGAAACACCACGATGCCAGCGCCGATGCAGCCAATCACAAAGTTGGCGATAGCCTGCGGCTGCACAAAAAGGCCCAACATAAAGGTTACAGGAAGGCGAGTGCAGGATTTGTGCAGCATATAGAAGTGTAGACTCATTGCACGTCCATAGTACTTGCCAAGCTAGGTTTTGGCAGAAACAATTGCTGTCAGGCTCCGTCGCTCGATACGCCCTGTGAGACCTACGTCCGTCCGACTCCGCCAAACAATGCAATGTAGTATGTGTGCTATCCATGCGCACATGTTCAAACCTGAAGAGAAAGCCGGACAATGGACTACTGCACCAGCAAACATGCAGCCCATGCTTGTTCTTCAGTAACTTGGCAGGCTGATGGCGGTTTGCCCAAACTGCACGGTCTCTCAAGTGACGAGTTAAAACAACAAAATAACGAAAGCACAAAAGAGCAACCAGGATGATCGATCCAGCCTCAAATGGGGTGATCTTTGATGCCGACGTCTCGCCGTTCTCTGCTGCCTCCTGCCATGGTCTCTAGCTGGAATTAGCACCTACTGACCGGCGAAGAATGGGGAAAGGCCACAAAGAAAGCTACGTGCAAGCTGAATGAGCAGAACACGCTTCCGGAATGGGTGACGTCGCCTCGTCACCTGGGTCTGGGGGATGAGCCTCGAAGCAGCATGCTCGGAAAGCTTTGGTCAACATCTGCCCATTCGAAAGTGCGGTAGGCGCGAAACATAAAAAGGTGAGGCCTGCTGCTGGTGTATGCTGCAGCCACTGTTCAACAACCCAGTTCAACCCACACGCGGATATCATCGAACATATCCTGCGTGTTTGCGCAGGATTCCCCAGAACTGCAATTCGACAAGACGCCCTTCTGCACCAAAATCGGGTAGGCATCATGGAACCTGACCAAGGTTCCCTGATTCATATCCTCTTTTCCAGCAACCTTACTGGGGATTCTGCAGAATCCTTTCCTTCAGGGACCCCAAGTGATGAATAGCAGGAGGTTTTGTCAGGAGGAAATATCATCTTCTGTCCCACCTCGAGCCTGGGATAAAGTGCTTCTCTTGGGACGGAATGTGCGCTGCGCTGCGTGCTTCCCACTCCGGTCCTCCTCCAGCAGCTTGGCAGCGGTGATCGCATCGCCAACTGTGTGACCACAAACTGAGGCACGACAAATGGACCTGGCAGGACATCGGCACTGCAAAATCAACTTGGCGGCAGTGCCAATTATCCTCCCCCATATGCCCGTCACGCGAGGAAATCCTTCCTTGCAAGAAGTGGCACCGGCGATGCAGGGCGGCTTTCCATGCAAGGTTGCAGATGGCCGTCCCCCACGAACCCCCAAACCATTACCGCCCGAAAGAAACAGATTATGTTGAATTATTGAATAGCGACGCTATAATGTGCAATTGTATATGCCCCTTCTTGTGCCAGCCCCTTGCCTCAGCATCTGGCTCTTCTTTGGTGCCGGCGCCGGCGCCGGGGCCGGCTCCACCTCGAAGCTCTCAGCCGGCATGGCTCGCCAGTTTTTGCCGGGAGAGGGGGAAGGTTGAAAATCTGAAGGGCGCCCAGCTAGGCTACCAGGGTATGATGCCTGCGCAATGAATCCTAAGTTCTTTTGGCCCAGGTGGCAATGCAGCAAGGCAATGGAAGCAGGTCGGAAGAGCAGTGCTTGAGCCACTTAACCAAGGTGGAAGCCAAGCGTGCCATGGCAAACGTCGCAAAGCAGGTTGGCGGATCTAAGGCTTCACTGAAGCCAGAGTTGAACAACAGACTACAGAAAGGGGCCTGGCCCCCGGATTGAACAACTGCCATTCAGCAGTAAGTTTCGAGCAGCAGTGCGCATACTGGCAGCTCTCTCTCTCTCTCTCTCTCTATCTATCTGTCTGTCTGACTGTCTATCTATCTATATCTCCCTCTTTCTCTCCCTCTTTCTCTCCCACCCACCCACCCACCCACCCACCCACCCACCCACCCACCCACCCACCCACCCACCCACCCACCCACCCACCCACCCTCCCTCCCTCCCTCCCTCCCTCCCTCCCTCCCTCCCTCCCTCCCTCCCTCCCTCCCTCCCTCCCACATCCTTTGGTTTCAATCTAAGCCGGCGATGACAGCCTGTGCTGCATATAACAGGGCAGGAGGTTGACAGGAAGGAAACAAACCGACATCCAGGCACAAACCCAACTCTCAGCATCATCTTCATCATTCATCAACCCCAAGCCAGGAGCTTTAATCGCTTTAATCATGGGTATGATCCCTTCCCCTTTTGCGAGGCCCCTACAATTTGCCAAAAGTTCACCAGCACGGCCTGGTTGAACCTCTGGCCTCATGGATTAGCCTGAATGTGGTCACCGCGTGCGTCTCCTCCCGACCGCCGATGCGGAATGTGCCACAGAGGCTGCTGCAGGCGAACTTGTGCTGCAACAACCTGCGAGGTCAAATCAGCCAGCTTGCTCACAGAAGTGGGCCGGGCTTTTCTGCTACCCTTTAACGCAGCCGCGGACTCAAAACTGCCCGCTCAAGAAAGGGTCCCAGCTCCAAGTGAAATGCCAATGACCAAACCAGGTGCGGAAGAATCTTGGGCCAGCAAGAAGCAGCGGGGCCCCTTAAATGCAGAGGCATGGAGCTGACAACTGACTTTTGGGAAAACCCTTGGCCACAGCCCGGTCGGCGCACACCCAATTCAAGCCCTTGAGTGCCGCGCAATTGGAGCTGCAGGGTCTCGCGTTAAACCACAAGCGAACCATGGGTATTCATCACAAAGAAAAAGCGAGGACCGCCGCTAAAGCACCTTGCCCTTCTTTTGGCAAATTCATAGGCGCCGTACGAGGGCAAGATGGTTGTTGAAATGCAACATATATTTGAAAAGCGTCACAATTTACCGATCCTTTCGCTGCTCTCAAGAGGGGGCGGACCTTCAATCTGCACCCAACGGGTCTTCTGCATTTGGCGCCGAGGATTTGCAAAGCAAGTGAGGGGCCGAGACGCTGAAGTTTCCGCCCATCGCGGCCGGCCATGCCCCAGCTTCTTCTCCCGCTGCGCTGCATGACCTCAGCTGGAGCTGGTGGAACGTGGTCGTCAAAGCTTGTTTATTCTTTTTATTCGCATCCTCCTTCGTCGACCCCGGCCATGTAGGCATGAGTCGCAAACGACTCATGTACTCACTGAGGGAGCTGCGGGCGTGACAGGGTGCCAAGCTGGACCACACAAACGGTGAGCCAGTTGTTCGCTACAGATAGCCGGCGCCAAAGCAAAATGACCGCGGCCGCTCAGACACGCTGGAATGCTGTTGCATTCCCTTTCAGGCAAGGCGTGCATCACCAGCCCATCAGCCTAGACTGCGCCACCCTCACGCAGCGGATGCCTCCATACCGTCTGACGCAGGCTCACCTTTGCAATACGGTGCCCGGCAAGCCAGATGAAGCACGCCAGCAGGCCTCACATGCCAGGGCAAAGGCTTCGAGGAATGTCGACCACCGCGCTGGCACACCCACCAACGCTGACCCGTGTTCAGCAAGATCAAGCAGGTAACTTTGCGTTACACGAAGAGCACGATGGCCTCATAGACAAAGCACTCCGTCCATCAGGTTGGGCCTGAACAATGGGCTGGAGGTGTAAGAGCTAGTGAGGGCCTCCGTGGCCTCTCGCCCCACGGCCTCTTTGTTAGACTGGTCTGGCGTGCTGCTCCGGCATCTTGCTGGTCACGGATGGGCGCCCTGAGAACGCTTTAACTGTAACTCCCTGCACCACCTGCCTACCTCGCTCCGGCTGATCGCGACCGACTTGAGCAAAGCGCTGCCCAAGTCGGAGCCCCGTGGCGTCACTGCCCAACCCTCCGCTGCCCCCCGACTAGGAGGGGTTGGGCCATGCGGCTGGCCAAACTCCTCGTGTCTGCTGTGGTTTAAAATCCAATTTTGAGGGTTGTTTTGTTCATAACATTCTACTGACCCCAAGCAAGGAGGACTCTTGGCCGCGGCACATGTGAGCATGATGGATCTGCATGTCCGATCAGAGTAAATCAGCTGAGCTGCCATACAAGCCAATGTGCCAGTGATGCCTGGGCAAGGATTGGCCAAAATCGAGCACATTGGGCCATGGGAGCTTCCAATCTCAATCCTGCACACTTTCAAGTTCATCATCCCAGTTAAAGCTTGACTGCAAACGTGGCCCATCATCCAAACTCCTCACACGCATGGCTTGAAGGGTGAGAGGTCATACCGTCAGTAAGTCAGCACTCGAAGGAGCCGACGCCTGTGGCGCCCAGGATCAGCACGTCGATCTTCGCCCCGGCGGGCGGGCGCAGGAGCGCTGGCGTCTCGCTTTCCGCCTCGATCTCGGAGAAGATTTCGTCCCAGTCGGACCTGACTGCCCCAAGTGAGCCCACTTTACGCGGCAGGGGCTGGCTTTCGGATGTGCCGGGTTTACCGCTGGCTGACATCTCCGCAGCGCAGCTTACGCATCAGGGCTGCCCCATGATACAGAGTGGCTGCAACATTGTAGTTACAAATGGTCAATGATTCCAAAGGGTGTCAAGATCAACCACACGCCTTGGAACTGGTTCAAGGTGGCATGCACCAAGACAATCAATACGACTGCGACGCGTTGTTCAATCTCCGGCATGTGCAAATAGCAACAAGCTGTGCCAGGCCACGTTTCAGCTCGGAAGGTTGGGAAGGTTGGGAGTTCTCATGTGCGGATACGCAATATTCCCCTCCATGTTTGCTATGTGTCCTGTCGCATTCAGGCCTGGGGCCATGGGGCGTGCCGCTTAGGCCCAGGCCACCAGGCAACGTTCACTGTGGGGGTCAGGAAGCCGTGCACCTCGTTGAAGGCTCGCCGCTGGTAGGGATCCAGCAAAAACCTGACAGGACCCCAGTGAAACTCAAGATGCGAGGGGCACCCTAAGGGCACATTGAAACCTTTCTTGCGAATTGACCAGGCGCATCACGTCTATAATATTCGTCTGTGATGAACCATGATATATCGCACATTGCCTTCAGCGGTGCTTGTACTTGTATGCCACTTGGACGGCAGGTAAGCTGAACAACCAGCTTCGATGCTTTGGCTCGACTTGTCAAATGTCAAGACCAGAATTGCTTGAACAGTTGTGACACAACTCCGGAAATCGTGGAATCAGCCCATCAAATTCCGCCAATGCCTTGCAAACAAGGCAGGCAGCTTCCTTGGGAAGCCTTGAGCGTACCGATGCGTACCGTGTTCCATGGTTATCAAAAATATGAAAATATTCTTTGGGCATCTGCCAGAGTGTGGGCTTCTACGTGGGACCTTTCATGCCCTCGGCCAGGCTACCACGATTCCTGGCTGGGTTTCTGCATGCTACCCTGCACATGCTGGTCCTACCCACATGACCACAAGCCCAAGAGGAGCCGCACCAAATGCTGCTGCTGGCACTCTTTGGCCAGGGTCAGCTGCTGAAAACGCATGGCGGCGGCGTCTCCTGTAGGGCCACGGAGTTGAGATCAAACGCGGGGCACTCGGCAGACCATCCGGACCCCTTCACGGCAGCCAACTCAAGGCTTAGAAGCCTCTCTTGCGAGTTGCGAGTGTCTCCCACGCCTTGCAAAAAGGCTACGCTCTTTGTAATTGTTCAGCAAACCATGACAGGCGTAGATCCCTTTGACGACATCGACGACGAGACACCAAGAAGGACCCTTCCGCTCAAGTGCCCTGCTCCTGTCCTGGGCAGCGGTCTGGATGGACCTTCAGGGACAGCTTCCGGTAGGCGGACTTGATGGCCGCGTCCGTCGCATCGTAGGGGATGCCGAAGATCTGGTACGGATCCTCGAACTCAAAGGGTACCCGAAGGACAGAAAAGCAAAAGAAAAACATGTGGCCCTCCACAAATACTGAACAGCTGCAGGAAATGCAATTTGAGAGAATGGAACTCGGGCCTGGCCCGTGTAACGCGCAGTTTAACACAGTGGACATCAGGTCATCACGAACATGCCTACCGACAGCTAAGGTTCAGGAGTACGGATATGATGTGGCGCCTTCGGTGCAAACTTGGGACACCAACCGTGCCTCAGCCATCACCTGCAAAAAGACGACATCTCCCCCCTTCAAACTCCAACACTAATGTCACTAATGATTCCTTTTTTCATCATTAGTAATGATGAATAGCCATCCCGGGGTGGACATAGGATGGCATAGGAACGTTGACGGCCCTTCCACGGCTCCAACTCAGAGGTGCCGTCAGGTGTCCGTCTGGTAGGCATCAAACACCTCCACGTCCCCCGTCCAAGCGCCAGCACCAGCAGCACCAGGAGCGCCAGTCGGCCCTGTGGCGCGGCCCACCGGCGCTGATTCCATCACTGCCGGCTGCAGCGCGACTTCCGCATGCGGAGCCATAGGCACCTGCAACGCTCGATCCGCGGCTGTGGAGGCGGAGGCTCTCAAAGCACATGTGGCACGACAAGTCCATGCCCGGGCAAATGACCCTCACGGAACTTAGTGGTTGATCACTGTCCTTTTGAAGGGACCCCCACCTCCACACCCAGCTCAGTCAACAGGCAGTACAGCTCAAGGTCTGTGGAGCGCAGTGGCTGAATTCCATTCTCCTGTGCAGCCACGCAGCCACACGCCAAACAAATCAAGCTTCGGACATCACGCTGCTAAACGCCTAAACGCTTGCGTGCGCTCACGGAAAACGGGCGGAACACTCCAAACGTTCCGTTGATTCGAGCAAGGGGAACCTTTTAGGCTGAAACCCGTGTGCTGCCTCGTGCCCGCGGACATAACATCCCACATGCCAAGCACACATGAAACGCCGATTGATGCTGTGGCTTCCTCACGTGGGTTGTGTCCTGGCAAAGGTCTTCCAAGTGCTGCCTGCTGGCCAGTATCACTGGCCGCAGCAAGGGGCGACCCTTCAAAGACAGGCTCACCTTGGTGGCTCTAACAGGCAAGCCGAACATTCATGTGACCTACCTGTTCGGGCCATTGTTGCACCATCCTGTCACAGCTAATCCTCCCAGAGTTGGAGCTTTTTGCTTTAGGTACGCTGGTTTTGGAAACCAGAGGCTTCTCATCAAGGGTATGAGGGAGATTCATGGAAACACACCACATTCACAACGCTCATCTCAAGATTTGGCGTACGTCCTGACCACTGGAGCAACCAACCCGCAAGCCATGGGACGCACAACTCGCATGACAGGCTACGCTGCAAAAGGGACACTACGGCACGAGAAGGATAAACCAGCCAGAATGGCTTTGGCTCAACTTCTTGCAGGTTGACTTTCATCGGCCCAGGTCTGACTCCCAATGAGCACAACCAACAAACAAACAAACAAACAAACAAACAAACAAACAACAAACAAACAAACAAACAAAACAAAACAAGCAAGCAAGCAAGCAAACAAACTACAAAACACACACACACACACACACACACACACACACACACACACACACACACACACACACACACACACACACACACACACACACACACACACGCACCCACACACACACACACCCACACACACACACACACACCCACACACCCACACCCCACACCCACACCCCACACCCACACCCACACCCACACGCACGCGCACACGCACAGGCACAGGCACAGGCACAGGCACAGGCACAGGCACAGGCACAGGCGCAAGCGCAGGCGCAAGCGCAGGCGCAGGCGCAGGCGCAGGCGCAGGCGCAGGCGCAGGCGCAGGCACAGGCACAGGCACAGGCGCAGGCGCAGGCGCAGGCGCAGGCGCAGGGTCACAGGCACAGGCACAGGCACAGGCACACGCACACCTACACACACACAGTCAAGTGCAGGCAGCCGGTTGACTATACCTAAGAATTGGAGGTCGGCCCTGATTGTTCCTCCAAGCCAGCTGCGAAATGAATTGCCCCTTTCGCATCCGCCCCTGTGCCGAAGTCACCCAGCCCTCCAGCGAGCCGTCCAGGCGCCGAAAGTGCAAACGTGTCGAGGTCTTCTGGAGCTCCACGACCACCGCGCCATGTGGCAGACGTGTCGGCTCTGCCTCGGTGAGAAACCGCCATCTCTTGTGGTCAGCAGGGTAAGCCTCAAATGGTCAAAGCTCAGATTGCCACACTCAATCAGGAATAATCATTCACCAACATAGGGTCGGGTTGCCATGTTCGCAAGGTCCACGGAACGTAGCAAGGACACAAGAGGAACCCACCTTCGATGGGTCAGGTGTCGACAATCGAATAACATGGGGTACGCTGGACGCTGCACACATCCCAACTGCAGCAGTCTTCCCGGTCTCGGCTTTTGCGTCTAAACCAGCAGCAGTGCCAGTAGCATCAGCAGACATGTCTGACGTGTCCGCTGATGAGACAAACATGTCCCCCTCACCATCCCAAGGGTGCTTAACTTTATGCAGACCTCAAACACCGCTCTCCCCCCCCTTCATTTCCGATCCCCGTGCCTGCCTCTGAGTCTAAGTGCGGCCCTGCGCGAACTAGGAGGCCACCTGTACTGCCGCCTGGCAATCACATCCGTCCCAGAAGGCGAAAGAAACGTCGGCGCGAAAAATGGGTGCCCCCTGGGTACTGGCCTAGGTGTCCCGATGCCAGGCAGTGCAAAGGGGGAGGGGGAGGTTTCTCACGCAGCCTCGTTTGCCGTGACTGCCCAGGGCTTCAATGGCTTGACATGGTTGGTCCGGCGGTTTCTTGGGCAGGCCTTGGCCAGAGGTTTTCAGAGAACGCAATCAGACCTTGGATGGCGCATGATTTACTTCCCTTGGATGCTTCGCCGCACTGTAGCAAACTTGAAACTGTTGGTATTCAAATGCTAGATCACCACCAGTTGGTAACCAAAGCAAAGCTTTCGGCCTGGCAAATGCCGACCTTTTCACCCATTTTTGTGGGCAATGGAAAACGCTGCCTCAAAACGCAGACTGGGATAGGCTTGGGTAGAGGAAATAAACATCTTCGAAAACCAAAAAGCACAAAGCAGCTACTACCCTGCTAGCCCCAACGAATAGCTCGAACCGGAATAGGGGCTTTGCCAGCCCTCACCAAAAGCGGAAAGCTGCAGAGAATATCGACAGGCATGACACAGGCATACAACGAAATAAAATTCCCGATCGGGACAACCGTGCGCCTCCAATAACTTGCCAAAGAGCCATTGCAACACTCCGGTCGGCTCAGGTCACGATATGGCTTCATGGCTTGCCGCTGAACGGCCCACTAAACAGGGCTCGCCCTGCACAGGCGTGCCTGGTTTCCCAGAATTTCTCCAAAACAGGGAAGTGTACAACTCGGCTGCTCCAACACGGAAGGATGCTCCTAAGGTGAACCGCAAGAGCGGGCCAAGCGGACAACCACATCACCAAACTGGTTTCCCATGCAACACGCTTGGAGGATCGTGAACACCCGGCGACGTGCGTTGCGTTTCGGGTTTCCTGTTGGCAGACCGCTGGTGTCTTTGCATTACGCGTTGGCGTTTTGCTTTGCTCAGGCCAAGCGCTTCAAAAGCTTTGGCACTCAAAGCGCTAGGCCATAGCCATTGGCTTGGGCCTCAAGATCAAAGCCATGTTCTCCTGGCAAACCATGCAAAATCATGCAAACACGCCATGCAACTGTAAACATCTGCTTGCGGAAAGTCAGGGGTCTGTGAATTCAACCTTTGGACTTTGCATTTCTCGCTAACTAAGTGCGGGCCTACAAGTCACCCAATTGAGGGCCCTTCCAAATCCGACATGACATTTGGAATGGCGTTCAGTTCATGCCTTCCACATTGGATATAAGCCAAACAGTTAGCACTAGGAAAGCTGAAGCTCAAAATGCAACATTTCTGAATGCTGACTGTGGAACACTGGATTCCATGCGATGTTCTTGCTTGCTCCCATCACCCAAATCGCAAGCCCAGCTAACAGCACAATGCAAGCCCGGGCCCAAGCAACTGCAACATGCAGCCTTTCACTTTGCACAAGCTTTGCCGACGTTGACTGACATGACTGACAATGTCAAGCTACTCCTCAAAGCGGCCCAAGAGGTTGAATTCACGCTACTCAACTTCACATTGGATCAAACTCGCTTCACCCATCTTCACCCCCTCGTACTTAGACCTGCTTTGCTGCCACCAGCAACTGGGGGCAACTAAGAGGAATTGTGAGCCGGTGTCCCTGGACCATCCTTAGTTTTGCTGGCGACACGGCTGCGCAAGAGTCGCTCCGGGCTTCCGAGCAAAGGTCTGGGGCGTCTCACCGATATCCAGGCAGGGCGCCGTGTCTAGTGGAGTACCTGTTGTTACTTTGGTTTGTCAAATGTCCACAGGCAAAAAAGACGAATGCCATGTGCAGCCAAGGCACTCGGCCGTTCAACACGAGTAAAGCCTGGCAAGGAGAAATCACGGCACCTGACTCGGGTCTCCGGTCGTTGGGCACCAGAAGGTTAAAATCAGAGGACACAATAATACAAAATCCGCTTCGCACGAGTAAGTGCAGTTATACCAGATTCAAGAGGCGCTGGCCGAAAGTTCGCCATGCCGCTCCTTTTCCCATCGATGTCTTTCCCTGGCCTGGTGGAAGCATCGAGGGCACTTCCCTGCCTCAGCCAATGGCGGCTCAGCGACAGGTTGCGATTCAAACAATAATTATGAATATCTCGAAACCCTTGAAATGCGAATCCAAAACTTGACCACTGGGGGAGAACCAGCGGACATTGGCCTCTCAACAGCAAAGAAACGCAACACTGTTGCCAAGCTAAAAAAGCTATCATTGGGCTTGGAAGGTGAGCTTGTGACTTGCGAAACATGCTCAAAGTGACCTTGACGTGACATGCTCATGGAAACCTGATCTGAATCCGTCAGCCTATGAGCTTGGAAGGGGCCTGCTTGATCCGACCACTGAATGAACAGCTGACAATAGGGGGGGTAGAGGATGACAGCAAACAAACCCAGCTGAAGCTAGTTCTGAGGCCTGGGACTCGAACAGTGCTCCAAAACATGGGCTCATGACTGGCTGTTGGCGGCTGTCATCTGCAACTGGGAGCAAACTGCATTTTCCGTGAAGCCAAGCTGCGTCCTTCCCCCCTCTCACCCCTCTGACACGACCAAGCCACCGCGAGCGCCAGGCGGCTTTGGCCGGAAGTCTGGCACCTGCAATCTGGACATTGACATGGCTCACCCAGAACCGTAAGATAACTGATGAACACGATCATACCATGCTGTAGCCTACATGCCTCCACGGGCCAAGGCTCGACTGCTCAGCCGGACATCTGGAAAAACATAATCAAGCGCCGCATCGACACGTTCGGAGTTGCCCTTCAGGGCCACTGTTGGAATTCTGCCAAGGCTACGCGGTGGCATGCCAAAAACTAGAAGTTGCCGCTTGCGAAGCGTGCCCTCGAGCCTTTTGCTGCCCTAGGCTGCAGTGTGACACCACCTTGTTTGGTCCCATGCCCAACTTTTTTCTGTTATAAGATATATGACCCCCTTTGCAGCAGAAGTTTATGCTGCCTCCACATGAAAGGGTCTCAGTGTTGTCCCCTCCACACAAGCGTATCGAGGGCTTGTGACGCCACGTTCAGTGACATCCGGCGATGGCCGCAACAGTCCCTCAATGAGGTCAGTTTGGATTGATTTTGATGACCGGCCTGCGGCGTCATGCTCTTCACATCTACCCCTCCTACCCCATGCCACCAGAATGCGGTGGCCAGCTCGGTGATTCTTACATGCATCTATTGGATCAACCAAAGCTGAATCTTGTACCCCGGCGAAACCCAGCGTATGCACAGCTCTTCCCAAAGTCCGTAGGTTCGCGTGAATTTCGACCACGAACCCCCACAACAAGGACCACGACAAGTAGAGCCCGGCACTTTTTGCGTCCCGCTCGCGCGCTCGGTTTTTTGCCTTGGAGGATTGCGAGGCCTTCGGTGACTCAATCCGCGCACTGAGTCACCGGCCTCAACCCCCAGGTTCAGACTTGCCCGGCTGAGGGAGCGCCCCAAAAGCCGGCCTCCTTCCAACCTACTTGTCCTATGACCCGAACATCACGCGCAAAACACACACACACACAAACACAGGACCAAAAGCTGAGCCCAAGTAGTGTCAGTGTCAAAAGGTATCATTGAGGCCAAGTGTTCCAAATTGAATCATAATTTGAACAGACCACAATCAAATGTTCAATATCTGATATAGGCCCAAAGGATCCGCCTAATTACTTCCTGGGGCATGTGGAACCTGTCCTGACCCTGACAGTAAAAGGGCTTGTAGCAACTTGCCAAAGACATTGGATTAAGAACCCCGTCAGTTTTCGCCTTGGAGGCATCCGAACAAAACAAGCAATCTTCCCCAAATGGGTTTGTTTCAAAACAGGAGCCCCGCCAAAACAAATTAATTCCTCACTAAGAGTCAGCTGGAGAAAGCGGGAGACCCGCAGCTATGCGTTTTATGGGGTTGCCGGCCGTTCTCCCTCGCTCTTGGCACAAGGGAATGCTGCTGGTGGAAAATCCTGCACGGCTGGACGTTGCGAAACACTGAAACCGAACGAGGCGGGCAAATGTCGTTCTGAACATCATTCAAATCAGCTACTCTGTGCTTTGCGGTGATGGCTATGGCTGTTTGGTAAACACATCCGAGTTTTGCACGTCGTGGGGCAGGACCTCCTTCCATCGTCGCCTCCCACTACGTCCACACGTATTCTGGGCCGGTTTCGCCCACTTGCTCACCTTGTGCCGCCCGCTGCTGCATCGGGGGCTTTCTTCCAGTTCCTGGCGCCACCACTTGCGTATGGCCAAATGGCTCATGATATTTGTACTGGAGGCCGGGTTTGCTAGATGCACACATGAGCTTCGCTGTCCCGTCCGGCGCAAAGAGAAAAGGCTGAAGGATTGAAAGCAAACGGGGTGCAGCTGTCCTGTACAGCAGGAAGGCCGCACCAAAAAGGAGGGGGTTGCCAGACACCTCAGCTGCTGCCATGTCCACGCCACAACTACACTTGAAACTGCCAGCAAGTCTGTCTGTGAGCACGCGCTGGCCAGGGACAAACAAGTACAAGGTAAATGTCTTCCAGGGCCAATAAACGATTGAAACCAGAAGCGTTTAGCTACACCATGTTTTAAAACCTCACCAACACCAACTTGGGGGCGGCCGGTTGGACAAACCCCTCAGCAACCCCCAAGCATATACTCTGAGCCAGCGGCAAGCACAAGACCACCTCCTCCGATCATGCCGACCTAAGAAAGGCCGGCTTGTGGTTGGTTGACATGAAAAATATCAAGTGCCTAACAGCCCCTGAAACATCACACCTCCGGCCACCAATGTAACACAACAGTGAGACAAACAAAACGCATTGGCCACCGCTTTCTGGAGGAGCCCGCTTGCGCGTCTGCGTGTGCGAGCCTGGATTGATTTATCAGAACCGGCCGAACCTGGCATTTACACCTGAGATCACCTGAGGCTGCTTGTCTTCAAGCATACCTGGATACTCCTTTGCGTACTTTTTTCCGAGCGTTTCACAATTTAGGTGTTCTTTGCCATTTGGGCGGTTTGCGTGGATTTGCGCTTTTGTGAGGGTGTTTTGCAGGCGTTGTGCGGCTGTTTACGGGCGATATGCGGCCATTTGCGGGCGGTTTTCCTTGCTCAAGCGTTTGCGGGAATTTGCGGGCGGTTGCATTGCAAACTGAGGCACAAACAGAAACTACAAGAAAAAGTACTCGTTGGAATGTCCAGGTGAAAGTATATCTAAACAATGGCTCTACGTGCGGACAGTCCAACACCAAACTCACAAACACACCCGTTCGGGGAAGAACAAGTCCATGTTGACCCAACAACTGTGTTTTGGGGGTGGCGTGCTCAGCGAAGGAATGACATCATAGCAATATGAGTGTTTTTCGCGGGACCATTGGCAGCTTTACACCATTGCACGCAGCATGTCAATATGCCAACACAGCCAAGTCAATGAACCCCGCAGCCAGCGAGTAGTTTCACCAACAGCGTGTGAACAAACATCATGCGCTTGCCAACAGCATGCAGTCGCTTGCAGAAAAATCTGTCAGCCTTTCAGGGAGAATAGCGCCTTCCTAAGAACTGTCGCTTCCCTTAGAAGCATTCAAGGCCAACATTTGCTTCCATCCAGCTGGACTTGCTGGGAGACCACACCGTGCCAACTTGCTGCAAAAAAACTCCAACATGGAAGTGTCATGGAAGCAAGCATTTGTGATATCCTAGAAGGCCTTTGGAGGTGTAATTAAATTAAACATGAAGCTGCCCACGCAACCCAAGTTACAGTTTGAAAGCACGCGTGCAAACACGGATGAGCGGCGTTGTTCGGAGCGCACTGTTGGCCAAACTCAAGGTGTTTCACATCTCAGGCGGCGGTGAGCAGCCGTTGGGCTTCACTCTTAGCCCACGCGCTCTTCGGCAGGTACCACCAACCAAACAACGTCTCTCGCCCTGGGCGCCTGGTGTGTGAGCCTGGTGTGTGAGCCTAGGACCCCAACATGGCTTCAGCCTTGGGCGCGCCCAACCCAACAATTTGGCCCCCCAGCCGTCTGCAGCAGCGGCAGGAAGTCTCGCCAGGTGGTGGCCTTTCTTGGGTGTCAACTGCAAGCACGTGAAGTGTGTTGGCCTAGCGGTCAACCCTTGAGTTCAGTTAAGCCTGCTCAAGTTGGCCAAACGATCCGAACTGGTACATCGCCAGTTGAAAAACAAAGTCGGCCGCCCCGTGTCCGCAATACAGAGTGCACAAAATGATAAGACCTTCTCATAACAAACAAGTGGGTGAGAAAGACTTTCTAAAGCTCCACCAAGCCTCTGCGCTAGTAGAATGTTGCTCATCTTCAGCTACAAGGCATTGCCATCGAGTTTGCTTGCGTAAGGTGGCATGTCCAATGCATCGTCATGATGGCGCCTTCAAATTCTAGTCTTGTGCGATCCTGATGTGTGTTTCATTGGGTCAATGAACACCTCCAGATTCATCCTGCGCAGCTGTGTTAGAACTTATCGATCCTGCCGCCAAACCCCCGAGGAAGGAGCATGGGGGGCCCCCAAAAGCACCTTTCTCCCAACCGCTTCAGCATTCCTTTGACCAACCAACCCGGCCAACTAAACAAACAAGCAAACCAAACAAAAACTAAGCTAAGTAGCAAAAAAAGAAAGGACGGAGAAAGAAACAAATCCACCTGAAGCAAACAAGCAAGGCAACCAACTCCCCAAGTTATCAGCTGAAACGGATCCTAGCCGACCCAACTCGCCGCCAAGCGCGCCTTCGCCTCCTCAAGCTGCGCCGCCATGATGTGGGGCGCACAGAGTGCCACCTGAATCCAGGCGCAATCATAGGTGTCCTTTTGGGGGAAATAGATGGCCCTGGTAGATGAGTAAACCACCTGGTAAACCAGGGCCATCTATTCTTTTGAATAGCAACCAGAAAGGACATCTATGGGCGCAACGTTGGCATGGTGCCATTTTCGTTTGGCATCCCTCGACTTGGTGAGAAAAAAACTCAGACTGGAAGCCAAGACCTGGGGAGGTCGTTCACCCGAGGCCCCACGTCAGCGAATGTGCAAAGTCTGCAGTCCCTCCGCAGTCTCCCGCTAAGCTTTGGAATCACTGAGCCGTTCTTTGGGGGCGGCGTGATCAATGGATGTGATGCATGGGGTTCAGCATGGCTCGGCAGCGAAAACTCCCAGCATGAACAAGGCAGTTGGGTTGAGGGGATCCAGGGGATCGTCACATACTCAACCTCCCAAGTGAAACCGGCGATGAACTTGACACAGCCCTGCCAACTTCCAACACGAACCCGTTAGCTGACCCAGGCCAGGTTTGAGTACCATAACCGCTGTGGCCGGTGCGACTGAAACACATCATGAAGAGGGATCTTAGTGCCACACCTGCCGCGAAGGCGACAGCCGCTTGTATATGTAAGAAGGGCCCAGCGCCTTCTTAGAAGGCTACGCAACAGCAACATCTCGAGCTTCTGCGAAAGGGATTGGCCTTCTTAGACACCAGTGTTTCGAGTCTGTTGGCTTTGCCCTGGCATGCCCTCCTCCAGCAAGCACAAAAGATCGACCATGTTCATGCACTGAGCAATCATGCTGGCTGTGCAACTGTCAAAAACAGTCTCAGGTTCTTTCAGCCAGCTGCTCCCAATGGCGTTTACGAGCCCAGCTAGTCCGGCGATACCGGGTTTTCCTTCCCTTCACCTGTGCGCTGGCTGCGTGCCGTGAGATAATCTGCCTTCGGCAGGGAATTCCTCAGCAAGGTCAACTGAAAGTAAGCGTCAAACACTCAGCTTCAATGCTTTCAAGGCCCAATTGGGCCCCTGTCAAGGGCCAGCCAAGAGAAGCCGTCGCTTGGCAGCAAGTTTCTAGAGCTGTCATGAGGCGGCCCTACTGTCAGGCAACGTTGACATTGTGGGGGGTGGCGCTGCAAAACAAACTGCACAAAGTGGAGCTTAGCGCTAAGAACGCTGCCCAACTCACAGTTGACCTTGCTGAGCTAATGATAATGGAAGAGGCAGCAAGCAGCGTCGTATATCCTCGAAGGGATCCAACGTGTCCCTCCATGTTGCATGCCTTCAATTCAAACCACCGCGTGGTCAGGATTGCTGCTGATTGAAAGCTGCGCGTGTATGTGTGTGTGTGGGGGGCAAGCGGAAGCGTAGTCTTCACTCTTGCTGTCGCACCCCCCTGCAAGGACCCAACAAATGTGTAACTTATTCAGAGGGAGCTTTGGAATGTCCGGCAATTCGTTAGTCACCCATTGATGGGCATATGCAGCCTGCCCAAAACTATGCGGCGGACTCCCCCCGACGGGATGACATACACATATATATATATATATATGTATATATGCATATCTGTATACATACATATATATATATGTTTTATATGCATATGCATGATGCTGTGGCCCCCAACATTGAGCGTATCGGAGGTTTCTATGCCGTTTGCGTGAGTGGCAACCAGGTGCAGCTTAGGACCAATAAGACGAAGGACGTGACGGGCTGCTTTTTAGACAGCGCCTGCTCAGCAAAACAAGCAAACGTAAAATGCCATTCAACACTTAGTTGGCAATCATGGGAATGCTCCCGGAAGTTCAACGGAAGCTACACAAGTGGAAAATGGCATCCCTCCACTTTGACACCATGGACAACTATTGTGCTTGGAAAACTTCCCACTCAGCGCAAGAGTAGCGAAGTATTTGCCGGGAATCAAGCCGAAAGTGAAAGGCAGGCAACCATGTTGAAGCACCTCCTTTAACCCCCCCCCTTTATGAATGCAGCCCATCACATGTTGGGCAAGTCGGTGCGGCCAGCGCGTATCTAACAACGGAGAAAAGCCAGTGTCTGGAACAATCTGGCTGAATCTGCCTGCATGGCGCTGCTCAACTCGCCTCTCGATCTCGGCAAGCGCCCGGCTGCTGCGCGGCAGTTCCGAGCGAAACCCAATTGAGTTTATGGGGTCGGAATTGGAAGAGCTGGCGTGCAAAGTTGCTTCCCTTGCAGCGTGCAGGCGAGGACACGCCCCAAGTCGGCCAAAGCTGGGACTCTTGTTGCCAAGATGGCCATTGAGGGATGCCGAAGTGGAGGTCTAGATGGTCAGTAAGCTTCACGAAGCATCGAATGCCATGTAACAACATACTTGTTTTGCGTCATGCTGGTAGAGAAACAACCATAACTAGCCCACAACTCGCGCAAAGACATTCCCAAGGCAACCCCAAAGATCTAAACCAGCCTAAAGCCCAACCTAATTGAAGCGCCAAGCAACTCCCCAAAACCAGAGCCAACAGGCAACCCTAGGTCCAAGCGAGGCTGATGATGCAGCCAACCAACCAAGCAAGCAAGCAACCAGCCAGGGAACCCAACCTAGGAAAACATCAGCTCTAGTAAAACAAAAAGGCGCATCATGTGCGTGACCAACACAAGTAACAGTTTTCATTTTTATTTGTTCTTTTGGGGGGAGGGCATCGGTGAATGTCAGCTTGTTCAAACATCGATCCGGAGGGCTGATCCGGAGGGCTCATTAATCAGTGGTCTAGTAGCCCTTCTGGGCTGTCCATGTTCCATGTCGGCCCCGTTTCTCTTTGCGCCTGGAGGCCTCTTTCCCGACTTGCGACATGGCAAAGACCGGCCGACGCCCCAGAAGATGCGACAAGCGGCCGACGCCCCAGAAGATGCGACAACAGAGGAAAGGCTACCTTGCTTGCCCGACGCTTAGTTGGCCTTGATATCAATTTCATGGTGTCTGCTGAAACTGTAACTCCTTGATGCATTTGCCAATTCAATTCGGAGCTCTCGTCGCAAGTCTTGCTATCACGGGACGTCGCCCTACGCCTTAAATGGCCATGTACGGCCACTTCTGGATGAATCAAACAATCTCATCTCACATACACGCTCCCTGCTTGTTTGTGGGAAATTGTCAATCCTAAGAGGGAGGCCTGTGATCATTCGGATGAATTCGCCGTTGACAATAACATCAGGCGTGTCAAAGGTTGAAAAGGACTGCAGCTGCGGCCGAAGTGCAGGCAAGCTTCCGGAGCCTTGAGGTGAGTCCGTCCAAATCAAAGCAAAAGCCGTGATCCTCACAACAGAAACAGCCTTCTGGCCTGCCGAGAAACTGACTATGAGTAAACATGAATTTGGAGTCGTATTTTTCCGATTTCCACCCTCTCTGACATACAAAAAGCAATGCATTTGCAAACAAAAGAGAAAAGCGAGACGCACGTCTAGAAGACATGCCAAATAGCACCCGCTCGAAGCTGGTTGTCTATAGACTACTCCCACGACAAAGCATCCTTGTCGGGGCGGCACTCCGAGATGGTGCTGGCCAGGTTGCTGACTCCTCCTTTCGAAGAACACATTACATCCATATATATATATATATGTGATATATATATATATATATTATGCTTAATTTTATATGCGCATATTCAAGTATTTGCTGTTATAGTTGCATCTACCCACGATGATTTCAATAATGTATATCGTCTGCACTGCACGTGCTCGGATGGCTATGCTCACTCACACCCGGCTGTACTTGCCGGGGCCGGCAGACCCAGCGCGCGCATGTGGGCCCTGTGGGCGCTGCACCGTGCAGCAGCGGTCCATGAAGGCCTTGGGCTCTGCGCTGGGCGCAGAACCTGCAACCAGGTCCATGTTTGAGGCGGCCAGCCGCTCCAAATGCACCACGCTGCTCCTGGGCCAAGGACGCAGCGGGCTCCAGTTTTAGCACAAGCAGCACGAAAAAAGTGTTGGTGAAGCGCCACGGCCGGCTGCTGAAGGGAAACCTGGGAAGCCAATGTTCACGCTCTGTACGTTCTGCCCGACACTGTCCGACATGCATCCGGCTCTCTTTAGCCTGCGGTCTCGAACGTGGATAGGATGCGATCAAATCCCACCCGAACAGTACCGCTGGTGAGTCATACATTTGATAGGCCAACACGCTTAGGTCCCTACATTCCCGACGAGGCTGCAAATGGAAAAGTCTTCAGATACCGAAGGGCCAACTGGTCTAATAGTTCAACGCCGCCTGCACCACTGCCCGGCTGACTTCCCGGCCCTGCCCAAATGCTGACCGAGGCGCTTCAGAGTCTGGAGATGCAGTAGCCTGAGCCCAAGGAAAAACATCCAGAAAAAAAAAGGGAACACGCCCCCGAGGCCCAGTTGAATCAACTAGTTAATGTCGTTTGTCTTCAAATAATCTCGAGCGCCACACTTGAATACTAAGCTGCGTTCTGCAAAACTGTTGATAGCTCCCGCAGCCAAAACAAGTACAAAATACATATTGCACAAGAGATCACCATCCTTGCAGCTGACTTAATCCCAGCCGTGGTCTTGCGAATTCATGGCCAATGGCGCATCTTCAGGCAGCTCCATAGCTACCCATGTGTAGGTTTTGAGGAAGGGCCCTTCCTTGTAAAGGCGTGACACAACATCATAACTCAACGGCTTTGTAACTCCCCGCTTGCCGGCATGCAAAGTTTCAGCTTGCGAATCCGCTAGTCCTCAAGTCCCAAGCCTCAAACATCCTCAAACCCTCCCTCTGCGTTTCGAGAAGCCAGGGGTTGCCGGCGTCCGTGTCCTCATTGGGCTCCGCCGCTAGCTCCACCAGCTGCGGCCCCTCCGTCTGGGACGAGGTACTCCGCGCGGCCAACTTCGCGGCCTTGGCCTCGTTCGCCTCCCGCCGTGCCTCGCGAGCGTCCACGCGAGCTATGCGAGCGAAGGCTGCGGAGTGGCGATGGGTTGCTCCACCCCAAAGCGCCCAAAGTGGATTTACCTTTAGAACAAGCCCAAACAGGGCACCCTCAAAACAAAACA